CCCTCTGAACATTATAATATCTCTATACAATAGGTATAGATTGTACTATTATCATTGTGTTGTGCAGGGCCGGATTCAAGCATAGGAGACATAGGCGCGCGCTTAGGGGCCGGCAGCACAAAGGGGCCCGCACAAAAAATACAAAATAATTTCACTGGTCATGTTTTATTATCGTAGATATTACGTTCTACGTGCATACTCGATACAATAAACCATGTTTTTGAATTTTTCCAACCAGTTTCATATAAATATCAGAAAATTGAAAAAAACATTAGTAACGATTAGGAATTTATGTTGGAAAATAATGTGAAAGAAGGCTTCGCCAATGTAGAAGTGACGTTAAGAATCTAGTACCTTTCCTTAACGGTGACTATCAAAAAGATCATTCTCTAAGCTGAAGCAGATTAAGAACAGAGTCCAGACCTATATGTCGGAACCTTTTGGACTTAGTATAGTAACGATAGAGCACGACATTCTGCGAAAGAATATTTATTCAAGATATACTTTTTTCTGCAACCGACACAAAAGTCGTCCATTTTGATACCAAAATTAGCTCTTAAATTGACGTTTCTATTACTGACACAAAAAAAGATATGTTGCTAGGCAACATATTTAGTTCCTAGGCAACATATTTAGTTCCTAGGAGCTGAAGTTGAATTTTAGTTCCTAGGAGCTAAAGTTGAACTTTAGCTCCTAGGAACTAAAAAGGATCTACTGGACGTCATCAAGAATAAACAACATTGTTACGGTTGGTTATTAGGGTTGAGACGCATACCTGATTTGTTTCCGATTACGGCAGATTTGGCATTTCATACCCATGCTGGAGATATAAATACACCTTATTATAGTTTAGTATTGGAATTATAAACATCTCAGTTGAGTATTTTTGTTTCGATCAGGGAAGCCTTCAAGATCCAAATACTTGCTTGATCTGTATTTCATTCGTTATTCTCGGGATGGATAACTTGTTTTTGAATAATCACGGCAAGCAATAGTTTTTTTGTCTCAAACAACGATATTGTTTAGCTTCATTTGATTATCAAGTCAAACACAGTGTAGTATGGAGAGGAATAAATAATCACTATTATCATTGTTGATATGCTCACCAACCTAACATTTTCCACGTCTTGTTCCAATAGCTGGCACTGGCGCGGTATTCGCCATTAGAGCACCTGGTCCATACACAAATATGTCACTCTGTGGTTGTATTTATATTGAAACCACAATTCGAACATCCTAGAAAACCTGACCTGCTGTTAATGCAGGTAGAATATTCTCACCACATTATTTGTCAATATTTGTTGAATTGCATTCATATGGCACGGCATTGGTAGTAACTTCACATATTTATTTCAGTTAATTGTTTCGGTTGCAGAAAACATAGCATGTTTCATTCGGATCAAAAGTGACTTTGTTCGACTCGCAAATTTTGCTTCCGCTCGGCTTCGCTAAACGCTCCGCCTCGCAAATGCAAAATTCGCTTGTCAAACAAAGTGTCACTTTTGATCCTAATAAAACAATCTACTATTGATCTAAAGAAGAGGAGGAAAAAATTGTATTCATGAATATTAGTGTTTTTAACCACCATAAGTCTCTATATTTCGTTCGGCACCAATGAATTCACAAAAGTTTTGTGTTGGGCCTGAGAAGGATAAAAATCAACGATGTGAGAGTTTCCTTAAAAATCTCCATTTTGCACCTAATTTTTCCCGGGTGAGTGCTCCCGACCCCACGAGCCCAGGCCCACACCACAAGTGGAGCTTAGGGCCTGTATTTTCTAAATCCGGCCCTGGTGTTGTGTATACCGATTAGACCAATTGTCTGAGAATCATAAAATTACATAAGAACCGATACGACATGCGGGATTCATCAGCCGCGAAGGAAATACATGATACATGATAACTACCACATAACTGCTCGTTCGCCACCCTCGGATGAGAAGGAAATTTCTAATTTGCATTACTTTAGAGGTACGAAGTCCAAAGGCCGTAGTTGAATGTTGAGACTAATCGCGAGTTATATTACATACTTAATATCTCATATTACATACGGACCCCCATAATCCAGCATATCATTTCATGGGAGGAAGGTAGGTGGAGACATTGGCGTACATTTTCATTTTAAATAAACAATACTTAAGATTACGTTGATGAGCAAATAAGTAATCTTTCAAGTGTAGCACTTTTAGATCGTATATATAGATAAATAACAAGTCAGATTCATTATTTTTGACCGTATACTGAGGTTCAAGTCCAGTAAACGTATAAACGTATACCCTTTGGTATAAGATTATATAAGATACATATACAGTTGATTTATTTGAAGAAATAAATATGTGGGTCTCCTATAATGCAGGCAACTGGGAGGAGCATTTCCAATATTCCAACTGCAGTAGGTATCAAACTCATTTGGGGATAATATAAAACAGGGTTACTTATACATCATTTTTCCATTTTTATTAAATATGAATTACACATCGGTAAAAAAATATCATGAAATAATGAGAACACATTTGAATTCTACAGCTTGTATCTCAATGATAAAGAAGGAGTAGGTAGGTAAGTACACTAAGTAGGTATATATATTCATTTTCTGTATCTTGGAAGGTAAATGCCCTAGGTAGGTACCTACTAGGTTTTGATATATGAGTAATATACTATCTCTATCTATATAGGTAGGTATCCCCTATAAAAATTTCTAATATTCAACAAATATGATAAATTACATCATTTTTGAAGTTTTTCCAATTAGGTTAATGAGGTAAATCTGATTTTACATTTAACATTTAACTACCTACTGAACAGTAAATAGTAACACTATGGTGTTTACTTCTATATGGTGCTAATAGTTACCTACGAGGGGTGAATCATGGGTCAATTTCGGGTACACTAGACTTCCTTTGTAGAAAGAATTCCAGGAATTGCTGGGACTACCCAAGGAATTCCTGGAATTCCCAAAGAATACCCGGACTTCCCGAGGAAGACTTCCCACGTGATTTTCCCCTCGGATACCTATATATATACAGTGAGTTCCGATGTGAGTTCATTAGGTTTGGAATCAATTCACCATCCCCCTTTAGGAGTTTAGAAACATCTTTGGACCCAGTGATTGAATATTTTCAATTAACAAAGAACATGAATTGTTGACTTAGTGCTGCCAATTGACTTGGCACAAATAAACACCAGTTTCATAGTGGTTTCATCTCACATTTTACCTGACCTCTTACATCCTATAATATTCCATAACTAGTGTTCTGGTAGGTATTTATGTGTAAAAGCACTAACCCTGAATATCTTTGATCTATATGTATGTCTACCACAAGGTTGAATAATAATAATTATTGTATTCATCAAGTCACAATCAAAAAAGGGCTTGTGTGCGTTTTTTTTTTGTCTTTGAACTAAGATAGAGGAAAACATGATGATGTTCATGATTGACCATGGCACTGAGTTATTTTCTGTTCTCAATTATAGTGAAGAAAGTATAACTTCGCAATAATACCTATTATGTAATTCTTGGACCAAAAGTTGAACAAGAGTACTCAGTACAGAATTTTATTTTTCTCTCGTTCATGAACTTGACATTGCCCGGACGTGGACCTAACCTATCACAAATTCAGTGTCAAAATAATTATTATTGATAATATGCATTATGCATCATACACATTAGCATAAATAATCCAATGAATGAAATGAATTAATATTACTGATGTAACAAAGATCAGTTCTTTTGAACGGTACTAACCTATTATATCGATAAAACTTCTTGTAATGAAATGTCTTTATAGAAGGCAGAAAATGCTGGTATAAAAGCATATTATTTTGATAAATTTGTACTCACCGTCACCGATATAAATAAAGGCCACCTAAACGGAATTCAACCTTCTTGCTGATAATTCTGATTCTTATCAACCGGTTCATACACTATACTATCAACAATTTTATTCAAAATTTCAACTTGTCCTCAACAATCCCAACTCTACAGGAAGGCCGAAATCTGCATTATTTTTGGACAGTTTGTTTCATCTCTTTCTAGGCTATTCTTCTTCGACCAATAGGAATCGTCAAAGCTGAGGAGGGAGAGTGGCGTGATATTTACGTCACCACGTGCATACAGGATATTCAATCGATATAAGATGTGGGCAAATCATTTTATTTTCAGGATTTCCCTGTGAAGAAATAATACTTTTTCATATATTTTTCCCCTAAACTGAACATGGCTTAATATTTAAATGCTATGATTGCACAATTTTGATTAAACAGAAATAATTATTAATTTCGCTGTATTTGAAAATTTCTGTTTTCGTGTTGGTAGTAATGGCCAAGTGGTGGTGCTTGCTTGATTGTGTCAGATATATGTGCAATAGTGAAAATTCATTTTGACCAGACATCCGTGCAAACAAAATGAATGATTTGACGTGACGAAATGACTCGAATACCAAAAAGAGTTAGAAAGTCAAGAGGAAAATCACTAATTGCACTGAAATTATACTCAATGGACACCGTGAATGAGGGCTAACATTTATTGCCCACTAAAACGCGCCACTGAAACGTGAGGTCAGGGTTGATAGAACTGATAAATATACTTCTTATCCTCGTGTCATTTGACATCTTCTAATCTTCTTCTCCGTCAATGTAAGAATTGGTAGTAACGTTCCATTGAGAGTAAACAAATGTTACCCGGCTCAAGTCTTTCGATAATTCGAGGTTTTCTATTTTCTCAAATAGTCCATCATTTTTTCCGAATATTTTCGATAAAACATGCCATAGTCTTTAGGGCTATCCGGCAAAATTTTGGGATCTTTCGACTTTGACAATGAAAATGTTAGCCCTCTCATTCATGTGGAACTTATTAATAGTGTCAGTGCAAGCACCATCTTTCTATGCATCCAGTAGTTCTAATGCACAACTGGTGTAGCACCACTCAAAAAAGAAAGAAGAAGAATCACCCGCGAGTTCTTCTACCGCCACATATTTAAAATTCAATTTCCCTAACAACCAACACAATCGAGTTGATTTGTCAATAATTTTATATATTAATAATCGATACAATTTTTACACCAATTTTATTCATTAATTGGACAATAAATAACGACATTATGGCTGGAATACCCAAGCTTCCTGGATTCACCTTCACTGATCCAACAGTAAGATATCTTCCATGTTAGATATCACACAGAGTTACGAGATTGCTACTGATATTGTACCTAATCATATCGATTTCTTGTCTTCCAGCTTAACAAATTTCATTTATCGCAAACTTTCAATCTCTGCAACGGATATAAATTGCCGAAAAATACTTACGTTGGAATAGGTGGCAGAGAATTGGATTCTAACTCGGTGAGGAATCTCCCAAAATATGATGCTGTCAAGTATGATCCTTCTTTGACTTACGGCAGAGCTAAATCTAAAGCTTTACCAAGTTTCACTCCTCACTACGTGTTGTACGATCAAAAATGTCTCACATTCAGAGCGTTCTTCAAGCAGGCAGTTGTGGAGTCTCCTGATGAATTTTTTCGAGTTAGACATGTGAATCTCATTTATTTTCTAGAGGATGATACTATAACTGTCATAGAACCCAGAGTACCAGTAAGATATTCAAACTATATATAAATTAGATATCAGTGCCTGTATAAAGATATTTATATAGCTAATCGCTATTGCATTTCAGAATAGTGGAATAGATCAAGGTAGGCTCATAAGGAGAGGTAAGATTCCAAAAAATGATGGTGGTGCTTATTGGCATTGGAAAGATTTCGACGTTGGTAAAGATTTGGTGATGAATGGCATCGTTTTTCATACTGTTGATTGTGATCTATTCACGAGAGTAAGATTTTTTTCAAAGATGCAATTTATTCGGAAATCTGGAACATCACCTCAATATTATTTCAGGAATACATGGCTAGTCAGGGTTTGGTTATGGCTGATACAGAAGAGATGCCTGTAGATCCATACATTTTCAATAGACATTTACAGAAAAGAAGTACTGTGACCAAAACTCCACCTGCAGATGATAAACTTCGCCGCTTCTTGGAATATGATGGGAAAGTTCTCAAGTAAGATTTTGGAGTTTACTATAAATAAATACAGATATGTTATTATTTCTACCTATCAATACTGATGACTTCGTAGGTTCAAAGCAGTTTGGGATGACAGAGAGAATGATTATGGAGCACTAATGAAGTATGAGATATTATATTTTTTGGCAGACGATACTGTTCTGGTTAAAGAAGTGCATGAAAAAAATGATGGGAGGGATCCTTATCCTGTGTTATTGAGGAAAACAAAGTTGCCAAAAGTAAGATTCAATTTTGTATTTTCTAGGAATGTTTATAATACGAGCTCTTTTAAATTTGTAATGTTGAGATTTTTATTTTTTTGAATTCTAATTTAGTCTTCTAAATACTTATTTTCTGATTTTTAGCGACACACTGACACTCCGGTAACCTACCCTGCCGTGTATCTGGAGCTTTCTGATGCCGAAGTAACGGAATATTATCAACCCAAGGACTTCCAGATTGGGGAAACCATATTCGTCCTTGGACGTGACATGCTGCTCTACGACTGTGACAAGTTCACCAGAGACTATTTCCGCAAGGCAATAAACATATTTTTATACATTAATCAACATAAAAGAGATAGTTTTTCACCGGAATGTTTGTTTGAACTTTTTTTATTTTTGGTTTCGAAATCTACAGCACCCTATATATTGTGGAAGGGTAATCAATAATTCTCTGGCAATACACTCGAAAAAAAAAAACGTTGGGTAGAGCAGCAAACCTGAAAAAATGATGAAGCAATATGCTTTTTTATTTTAAGGCCCTCTGCATCGAACAAAAAGCCGCATTAGATATTTCTGAGCCGAAAGCGCAGCCTCCTGCGCCTCAGACTCCACCCCATGACGGGCTGGGATCACTAGAGGACTCTATACAAAACACCCGAACGTTTTTGCCAAAGCCACCAAAGAAAGATGTGATGCGACAGCTTCTGAATGCCAACAAGGTAACCGAGAATTTGACGAATTCATACCTGCGAAATGAATCGGACAAGGCAAAAAAATGCCAATGAAATATTGAGGATTTTTGTCAATCGATCATATTGTTAGGAGATAATGTTCAGTGAAATAGACCTTCACCTTCAAGCAGTTGACGGAATTCTGTGGAAGTATACCGTTATATAAAGTGACATATAAATGATAGTTTCGGCGGCGCAAGGGGTATATTTTGTTGATTGAACAGATTTTTTCAGTTCTCAATTGTCAAACTCTAAATATTGGTTCATAATGCTTTCCTTTCGCTATATACAAAACGCCCCCCCCCCCCTCTATACCTCAGCTAATGATTGTGCATAATTATTACCAAATTTAGACCGGTGTGAATAAGCACAATTTTTTTATGAAATCATATAATAGGAATTTTTCTACAGGAAAACTGACCTCATAATATTTGTTTTGCATGGTTTCAAAACCCCATATGTGAATTTTCATATGATTTCTTTGATGTGTTTTAAAACAACAGGCACATCTAAACAGCATTTTCGCGAACGTAAATAATTATTTACTCGGAAACGGTGAGTTCCACAAAAAAGTATAACTTGTTTCTTGTTTCTTCTTTCAAATCATATAACTTTCTACCTATCGGAGCTTTTGAACGTTCCAAAACTTGCAGTTGATTTGAATTCACTATTTTTTGGAGGCAGATAATCAGGTAATATTTTGCATATGGAGGTTTGAAAGCATGGGAAACAATAATATGGTTTAATAAAAAATCTACCCCGTTTTATTTCAATAGAAATGCATGGCCCTGTACAGATGGATATTCGTCTCTGAAAAACTGATCCTATTTGATGGTTATTCATTCAAAATTTGGGGGGGGGGAGAGTATAAAGTGAGAGTATAGGAAAGTTCGTTTCTTTTTTTATTAATATCTAGTAATTCTCATCTCGATTTTCTTGAAACTTGGTGGTTTGTTTCTACTGATGATCTTTTGATTTAGGTGATTAAATAAATTTGTCAAGTCTCTATTGGCAACACGGGGTCATAATGAACATGTTTTTTTTTCTGTGGCTTTTAGAATTTCTTGATCTTGAAATTTGGATAAACAAAATCTGGAATCGATAATGTTTTGATACACCACCTCTTATCTCATTTCTATTAGTATCTGCGATACGAGATGGTTATGGATGCGGTACATCCGGAGGATATAGTCAGACGGTTTTTATTGAGTTATTCCTTGGCTGATGGTACTTGCAAAATTATGGAGCCCCCTATCAAGAATTCCGGCATCATCGGCGGCCTGTATCTGAGGAGCACTTTGTTGGTCAAACCGGGTGAGTGATCATTGATAAAGTTTGGAAATATCAAGGGCCCGAAAACAGATCCTTGTGGTTCTCCGATCATTTCTCTAAAAAAACCAGAGAACCTATAACCTGAGAAATCAGATAACATTGATACATTTTTTCACTACTATAGTAGTCGGTGATGAGGATAATTGATTATTGATCATCTCAACTCTCTGAAAAGGTCATTCATCTGACAGCTCTAAGCAAATTAACTTCAATAACGATTACTTTGATCATTCACAAAATAGTGAAGGTTTAGGGTAGAAATAATCTTGATATTGGGGTCATATAGTACAAAAATACTTAGGGATGAGATATATACAGCCTGGCATACACAACCCTGTTTTACCACTAACCAAACCGATTTTTTAACGCCTCGACACATGTTTCGCTAACTATGTTAGCATCTTCAGGAGAAGATTAAAACTTGGCGTTAGCATATAGCAGTAGCCATAGCATTTTTCCAGATACTTTTTGAATTTGAAAAAAATATGGTTTAGTATTATGTTTCTTTTGTTTAAACTACCTCTACAAACCCCTACGTTCAAACCCTTCTCTCCAAAGGGTGTTTCCAAGTGTCCATACAATTAAGATTGAGAAATTTAATATTTCTCAATGTTGCTGGAATATCCTGAAAAAAAAGCTGAATTAGTATTATAATTCACCAATTGCACCATATGTAATATTATAATTGGGTGGTAATTTCTAAGAACACATATCCATTGAAAAAACAACTGTACAATAGTTTTCTCATGAAATTTGGAAAAGAATTGATATAAAACCACTGTTTATACCTAACTCTTAAAGGCGACACCCTCCTTTGTAGAGAGGAATTACGAACGCCAAAGTTGATACACTCCCCTCGTAAGGGTACCTGGCGTGATTCCATACACTAACAGTCTGTTAAGCTTTCGACTGTTCCAGTTAATATTAAATAACTTGAAAAAAGCTGTTTTTTGAATAGAGAAGTGTTCGAAAAAGAATAGAACGGTGATTTGTATTTGAATAATACATGCATAATTTGATATTTATGAAAACTTATCTTGAAGATCCTCAAATTTCATCATTTATCCGGGCAGGCAGTCACAGATGTAGAATTCCAGAGTGAAGGGTCCCACGAATATATCAGTAATTTTTGCAAAAACAATAAAGTTTAAAAATTCTGAGGAATCTGTGATATTCGACATTATTTCTGACAAATCCTAGAACAATATGAATTAGTATCATGTTTCTTTTGTTTATACCTACCTCTACAAACCCCTGAGTTCATATCCTTCTCCGAATGGTGTTTCCAAGTTTTCGTAAAAGACTATATATGAGACATTTAATATATTCCATTGTTCCTGGAATATCCTGAACAAAAAAAAACTGAATCAGTATTATAATTCACCAATTGCTCCATATATCCTATTATAATTGAGTGTTAATTTCTAAGAACACATATCCATTGAATAAACAGCTGTACAATAGTATTCTCATGAAATTTGGAAAAGAATTGATATAAAACCACTGTTTATACCTAACTCTCAATAGACGACACCCTCCTTTGTAGAGAGGAATTACGAACGCCAAAGTTGATACACTCCCCTCGTAAGGGTACCTGGCGTGATTTCATACACTTACAGTCTGTTAATCTTTCGACTGTTCCACTTATATAATATTGAATAACTTGAAAAATGCTGTTTTTTGAATAGAGAAGTGTTCAAAAAATAATAGAACTGTGATCTGTATTTGGAGAATACATAATTTGATATTTATGACAACTTATCTTGAAGATCCTCAACTTTCATCATCTATCTGGGCGAGCGGTCACAGATGTAGAATTCCAAAGTGAAGAGTCCCACAAATATATTAGTAATTTTTGCAAAAATAGGTTTCGGAAATTCTGAGAAATCTGTGATATTTGACATTATTTCTGGCAAATCCTGAAAAAATATGAAGCAGTATTATGTTTCTTTTGTTTAGACCTACCTCTAAAAACCCCTAAAGCCTTCTCTCCGAAGGGTGTTTCCAAGTGGTATTATATCATTTCTCTTATGAATTTCATGAGAATACTATCGCACAGTTGTTTATTCAATGGATATGTGTTCTTAGAAATTAACACCCAATTATAATATGATATATGGAGCAATTGGTGAATTATAATACTAATTCAATTTTTTCTTTCAGCAACTTGACGTTAGCATACAATAGCCATTGCATTTTTTCAGATACTTCTTGAATTTCTTCTTGCTACCTTGATATATTCTTTTTTTCGTTTGCCGATGTTAGACTTATGGATATACAGGGTGGCCCTTTGAAAACAAAACATTTTCGAAAAATATTTTCAGCCCTGCGGCGTTGCCGCTTCTAACGAAAAGAAGCAACAACTTTGTTATTTCAAATGGAACACCTTATATTTCATTCCATTTTCAGATTCTCCCCAAGAGCTGATTTCCTCAATGCATCACACTTGGGGTCTAGCTGGAATGATATAGGGGATATAGGGTGTTCAAAATCGAGATGTTTCAACATTTTAGCATTTTTTTGTGTCGAAATTATTCAGTATTGGTCAAAACGGCTTTCATGCCCCTATCTCAACTTTTGATTTACTATCTACTAACATTCAATTGGAACAGATACAGGGTGATCATTTTCTGAATCGTGAACCTTGTATTTGTTTTAAATAAATGTCAGTAGATAGTAGTGAATCGAAAGTTGAGATAGGGTTATATATGAGCCGCTTTGACCAATATGATGGATGGTTTCGACACAAAAAAAACCCAAAGTTGGAAAATATCTATTTTGATCACCCTATAGCTCTGTATTCATTGTATGTATTTACTACCCAATTATTTTCGTAGGTTCTGACCCTCTCGACCCCTCCTATTACACTCCGGTGGATTTCTATATCGGCGCCATCATCACGGTTTTCCAACAGCGTTTCGAAATAGTCGGAGCAGACCTCTACGTCTATCGATACATGGAGGCCAACGAAAGCAAATTCCCCTGCGAAGTAATCGAAAGCCTCAGAAATTACATGTTCAACAAGGGCCATCTCAAAGATGACGTGACCGATCAAGTGAAGGACAACTTGGAGACAGAAAGAAGGTGGGATTCGGACACCAAAGGTAAAGTTCTGTATTTGTTCGTCTGATATGGTCGAAAACTACTTTTTATTCTATAAAAATCACTGACAAGTAGTCACCATTGTCTGCTAAATATGAAGAAAAAATCTAGTGAGCTGTAACTACTGGTCTACTCTATAGCTCACTTGAGTGTATGATCACCAGAGGATGTTTCCATATCGGACGAAATGATCTTCACTTTTTTCTAGAAAATGTTCGAAATTTGTGGTTATGTAAGTTGTCAGTGTCAAGAGCTGTCATGCCATCGTGACTTGTATTGTATTTTCTCCTCAAAAAAACTTTCTTTTTCAATTTTCGTTGTTCTACTATTTTTTTCGTTGATAGTTTTCTGTTATTATGCTCCCAGCAGTATTTTAGTAGTTCATTCTGATTGATATTTTGTTACAAACTCTGTCTCTCAATTATTATTGTGCCTACCAGAACTTGTGAAACCGTCTCCATTCATAGATTTTCAAGTGATATTTCTTTGCGACATAAGTGGATACATTCGATTTTGAGTGTTACAGGCTCATTACAAGTAAAGATAATATCAGAGCTCTGATCAAAAGCTTATAATCGATACTACTGATTCTACCTCTCATTTAATTTAGGTGTTGAACGTTGCAAAATTGGGGACTATTGTAGTGTCTATAGCAACCATTTTGAGGAGGAATGTTTTTTTGAATTTTTGAGTGACCGTGACCCGTGACTATGTCGTGACTGCACTCAAACTCACTGAACAATCTACGCCGTCGGCCGAGACTGCCGAGAGCACCATTCACGATTTTCAAGGTTATGTAGGGTCGATAGGAAAACAATTGAAATACGTGTTTCCTCGAGTTGACCGTATGGCGGCACTACTGTATCGGCCACAGAAACCTGTAGGCGATTTCCCTCGTTTGGGCAGACCAGATACTACTTATTTAGCAGACAATGCGGTAATCACAATTATCCTAAAGTCTTTCAACTCCTTTATGTCATCCAAAAGAAACATCATCGTACATAGGGTGATGAAATTAATAAAAACTGCTACAGGGCGGTCAAACATTCCTCCCCTCATGAAAAAGATCAATCTTCTTTCACTCTTCATCATTTTCAACATCAATACGACATAACTTCGTAACTGGACGCTTATATACCCTATGCAAGATCATGTTTCTTTTGGATGACATAAAGGAGTTGAACGAATTTTGGATAATTGTGACTTTACTTGTCAGTGATTTTTATAGAATAAAAAGTAGTTTTCGACCATATCAGACGAATCTTTGATTCAAAAGACGACGAACAAATATTCTGCTAGATAATCGTAGATTGTTTCATTAGGATCAAAAGTGACACTTTTTTTGACAAGCGAATTTTGCGAGTCAAACAAAGTCAATTTTTTCTGCAACCGAAGGAAATAACAAAAATAAATATGTGAAGTAACCACCAATGTTGACTTACTTGATAGATTATTATAATACCTTCATTATGATAATATAGGTAGCAAGACCTCAGACTACCTTACATTAGAATAATGATGGACGATGACTTTGATTTATTACAATTTGTGTTGACATTCATCATCAGATACTACAGGTACCAATTCAATACTATACCCGAAACGTGGATGCCGAGCCATATGTATGCAATGCAACAAATAATCCATTTGGGTATTCTATTGAATCAATGAATTCATTTGGACCCGCGGTGTCTGCCCTAAAAGCAAATACCACGCCAGTACTAGTGGAAAATGTTAGGTTAGTGAGCATACATCAACAATAATAATAGCGATTAATTATTTCCCTCCATATTCCACTGTGTTTGGATCGGTAATCAAATGAAAAAGTATTGCTGGCCATGATTATTCAAAAAGGAGTTATCCAATCAATCAGATCCCAATATATTCGGAGATGGTGGGCGAATCGAAAATTGGGCCAATCGAAAATTAAGTGAATCGAAAATTTGGATCGTTGTGCCCGATGAAATCAAATAAATCGTTCAAGGAATAAAAAGCCGACGATAATTTCAGTCGGTTTCAGGGGACGGTCTTAGACAGACGGAGATGGACCAGTGCTTGCACCGCGTGAAAGTCGACGACGCCTATGAAAAGGCCAAGATGGCGGACATCCGGCGCGAGTACGAGCAGTCGATGGAACACAAATCGCAGGTGCAACCTTACGGCATCAAGACCGTGAACGAAGATTGCGCCTATCCCGTGAAAGTCGGGGATGTGAAGAGTACCGAGTGCTCAGAGGAAACACAAGGTAATCACTTGTTATCTTTCGAACAGCACGAATTGGAATCTTTATTTTTCTCGTGGATCATCTTGTGTACTTTTGGGAAGCATACTAGGATAGATAAGAGGTTATTGTGAGGAAGAATGCACTTGGGAAGAAGAAGGTCGTTTCAAATTAGGACAGCAAACATTTAGGTATATATGCAATCAGCAAGATACTCTTTCTCATTAGTTTGTTTGAATGATTCATTTTTATAAACTCAATGTTACTGACAGTATATTTTCAATATTGATGAGTACTTTAATTTCGGTAATTTTGATATCCAGTTCAAATATTGATGATCAACATTCAAGATAATAGTTGCGTTTTATTTGCAACTTTACAGTTTCCGGTTGCTATTTTTCATTCCGTCTCACTACAAGAAATGACGTGACAGTTGTAAAATATGGAATTAGATTGAAGAAAAACGAAACTTTTTGAAACAGACAGAGAACATTAATCCAAACTTGGATATAGCACTTCGCAAAGCTTTTCCTGCTTAAAGCGGGTGAAAAAATATCTATAATCGACTTTGAGTCAAGAGAAATGAACGCCTTTTAGCTCTTTTGTGCATAGAGTCAAAATTAATGATGATCAAGATTTCATATGACGAGATAATTGATGATTTTGCTAATTTGAAATCACGCGAAGAGTTAATGTAAGACTTTTTTAAGGAACATTTAACAACGTTAACTAAATGTAAGTACATTATTTTGTGTTAGCTGTGTTCATATTGGTTTATGTATTTTTAAAGTACACTTTACCCCGTCTTGTAATTAGAACATGATTGACCTTTTTTAGTCCAAAAACTATTTCTCGTCTAATTTTCAATAAATCTTGGGTTGTAAAAATAATCTAACAACTGACAACGAAACCCTAATTCAAAATCATGGTAGGTAAAAGAGGTTATGAAGATGAGAGCACAAATCATAAAGTTGCAATGTTATTGACAGAATAAATGACGTGATTGCTGTATTGAATTTCAGAGGTCAGTAAGCCAAATGGCGGCAAATTTGTGAATCCGCCATTCAGCAAACATTTAGGTATACGAACTCGAAAAAGCTTCATCAAGGGTTTACAAGGATTATATAGAATTTTATAATCAGCAAGATAGTATTTCTACGAAAGCGTAGATGCGCCATATGATTTTTTTTATAATTGACAGATATAACTGTCAACTAGCCTAATTGACAGATACTAGGTGGTGAGAAGCCTACTTGACAGATACTAAGTGGTAACTAGTATACTTGACTTAAGTGTCAACTAGCCTAATTGACAGATACTATAAGTGGTGAGAAGCCCACTTGACAGATACTAAGTGGTAACTAGTATACTTGACAGATACTTAAGTGTCAACTAGCCTAATTGACAGATACTAAGTAGTAAGTAGCCTACTTGACAGATACTAAGTGGTAACTAGTATACTTGACAGATACTTAACTGTCAACTATCATAATTGACAGATACAAAGTGTTAAGTAGCCTACTTGACAGATACTAAGTGGTAACTAGTATACTTGACTTGAGTGTCAACTAGCCTAATTGACAGATACTATAAGTGGTGAGAAGCCCACAAGTGTCAACTAGCCTAATTGACAGATACTAAGTAGTAAGTAGCCTACTTGACAGATACTAAGTGGTAACTAGTATACTTGACAGATACTTAACTGTCAACTATCATAATTGACAGATACAAAGTGTTAAGTAGCCTACTTGACAGATACTAAGTGGTAACTAGTATACTTGACAGATACTCAAGTGTCAACTAGCCTAATTGACAGATACTAAGTAGAAAGAAGCCTACTTGACAGATACTAAGTGGTAACTAGTATACTTGACAGATACTTAACTGTCAACTATCATAATTGACAGATACAAAGTGTTAAGTAGCCTACTTGACAGATAATAAGTGGGTACTAGTATACTTGACAGATACTTGAATGTCAACTAGCATAATTGACAGATATTAAGTGATAACTAGCCTACTTGCCACATATTTTACTAGTTGACACTCAGGTATCTGTCAAGTATGCTAGTTACCACTTAGTATCTGTCAAGTAAGCTACTTACCACTTAGTATCTGTCAATAAGGCTAGTTGACAGTTAAATCTGTCGATTATACAAAAAATATATCATATATGGCGCTTCTACGCTTTCCTATATTTCTCACTAATTTGTTTGAATGATTCATTTTTCAATACTCAATGTTACTGATAGTATATTTTCAATATTGATGAATACTTTATAATTTCGATGATTTTGATAATCAGTTTAGATTTGTATGATCAAAATTCAAGATAATATTAATTTCTTCCAACCCTCGAAAATTTTCAAGGCCAATATACGTCGTACACCCCCAAGCACATCGACACACCCGAGGAAAGGGTGGAGAAATACTACGCGGGCGTACTCAAAGACCACCGAGACATCTGCGACGGCCGGCACCCCGTAGAGTGCTCGGAGCCCCCCTCCGGGTCCCCGGAGTCTCGCGGGGTGGAGGCCCCGCGGCCGATAATGGTCAGCAGGCCGGACGTGCCGCCTCAAGAGTGCAACACGAAGACGGTGAGGTTCGAGGAGTATCCGGAGAGATGCGACAGGGACAGATACGACCTGTGCGATCTGAAGGCAGATAAGATACATTGCGAGTGTACCAAGTACCAGAAAGATTGTTGAAGACTATCGAAAAATATATATGTATACAAACAATCACTCTGGTTTCTCTTCATTGCGAATAAATCAATATAAATTATTTACTTTACTAGAACCGCTCTAGCCTTTAGCTTCCTGTATAAAGCATTGAAAGTCACATGAAAAAGGGAAGGTAGATTAGATTAGGGTCCCTTGATGTGAATTGACGTATTTGTCATCTTAACAGGGTACGGACAGATCCTCGTCTCCTCTCACTCTAAAGTGTTTGTGAAACAGTTATATAGTTCCATCTTTATTCATTTCTGGGGATTAACACTAGATTTCTGTCATTTGTTGTTTTTTAGGTTATGTTGAGGACATTGGCGTATCATACGTAATTTCCACATGTAATTTCTCATTCAACTCTACATATTATATCCAAATGATGATGATAATTTTCGAGTTTTTGATTTTTCAACTCCAGCATAATCTTTGTGAGGCAGTGAGCAAATTTTTCTGAAAGTTTAATACGTTTTACCAAATGGGACTGTTCTTAGGCAGTACCTATCAATAAATGAATTTTGATTTCAGACTAAGCCTTATGGTTGAGAAATGATGAAAAATATTATGTAGGTATTCAAACTAATGTGCTGTATGTATTCATATTGGGAATCATTTTTGCAGTTTTTCACGAACACAAAATATTTCCTGAATGTAGGTATAATTTTTTAAATGGTAGGGCATATGCCTCTTCTTTAAATCCTCCGTTTTGATCAAAAACACAATGAGAAAGTATAATATATGTGATTTCGTATTATTAGTTTCACCTCGAATATTTTGCTGATGTATTTACCAATTTTCCCCATTCGGTCACTTCCCTTTCCATGTTCTAAGTTCATTTACATTTGATGGAAAGCTGACAAATTCAAATTTGCCATCCAACTGATTGATACAGCCTAACGCAGCACATTTTACCATCTTTCCAAAACAGAATTGAATAATGTCGTATGAAAGTATGAAATTAAAATTTTGTAAGATCTCTTTCAACGCCTACGAATGTGACGTGACAGCAATGTCATATAGGGGACGCCAATACACGAAACCAAAGTCACTAAATGATTAAAAGAGAAAGGAGCTATGATCTGTCCGTACCCTGTTAGATGACAAATACGTCAGTTTGCATCAAGGGACCCTAGATTAGATTAGATTAAAAAAGGGCCTTCGGGATATCTGCCTCCACACCGCGACCATTTCAGATCTATTGTGTCTGCCTATATGTTTGTTGACCTTACAATGCCCTGTGAGAAGAAATAGCGCCGCCTGGAGAGTATACTTGCCATACATTTTAGAATTGTATGGGGAGTGCAGCGTTGCTAATTGTTATCTCGTCTTCGTTCGAATACTAGCCCTTAGAGACAGTAGATAACAAATATAATCAGCGCGGCAAGTGCGGCTACAGCGACTAAATTCTTTCTTCATACTACCACGATTACTACGATTCGTGGCGTAGTTGACTGTGCGTTAGAATCTCACGTCGGCGACCCGGGTTCAATGCCTGCGAAGATCGGCTTTTTTTTATTTTGATTTCTTAAGTGATTTTCCGAAAAATATAATTATTAGCAAGAGGGTTCATTTAGGATGATTAAGGTTAGATGGTTTAAAAAAATAGTGTCCTTTTTTATGCAGGAGGGATAATTTCCTTCCTCCCTGGAAAAAGTACTGTCTTTTCAGGAAAAAGGTTCATTTTTAGGTCGAGTAAAGTTAAATGGTTTAAGAAAAGTAGAGTCCTTTTTATGCACAAGGGATATTTTCCATATTCCCTGAAAAAATAACTGTGGAGGCATTTACTGTTGAGGAAAAGTTCTGACAAAATCATTTTCATGGAGATATCTAGAAGAGTATTGAAATTATGATGAGAAAACAAGTTTTTTCTTAATGAAGACCCTATATCTCCAAAGTTAAGTGATGGATTAGGGCATATAAACTTTTCTGAAAATGAGCTATGAACCATATCATACATTTTTAGGGATTAATTGAATCACACCCTGTATAGTTCAATATCATTAGCTCATTGCTGTTTACATAGAGTATCTCAAAGAAACTTCTTTAACATATAACATAAATTTATGGAAAATTTCAACATTCTGTAACCCAAAACACATCTTCATAAGACTGTTTCATTTTGAACCACCACCAAATGATTCATAACATCCAATTCTGTATTCAACCAATTCCCTTTCTTTTATCTATGTTGAAATCAAATTTCCAGAAGATACTTTTTATATCTTGAAGCTCAAAACCAGTTAAATATCAAGAGCTAATTCCTTGGAAAATGCTTACTACACCCAGAACTATTCCACTCAAAAACTTTCAATATCATCATAAAATAAAATATTGACTTGCTGGACTTGAATCATTTTTTTTTATTAATCAATCTTTTTGATAATCATGACTCAAATTATTTTCTGATTCATCCTCAATATTTACAGAGTACAATGTGACCCACTCAAGACAGAAGCACCCTCATAAAATTCATATCTCAATATTGATTTTGAAATATTTTTTTTTTTAGTCTGTTGTATATGCCCCCCTCCCCATCTTATATATTAGAAAGATATTAGTAATAGGATTCTGTTTGCTGCTTGGTGATCTTGAAGATATGAATTTTATAAGGGTACTTTTGATCCCAGTATATGCATATATACCTAATCTACAAGATTAACATCACCTCCTTGAAAAATTAGAACTCATATGTTGTGAGGACCTTTGCAAATTATTCAAATTTGATTTCAGCCTAGATTCCATACTAGCCTCATTTGCAGTTTTGGCCAGCTGCTTGTGCACAAAATCCTTGTCAAAATCTTTCTGGACCTCTTGTCTTTTCTCTTCCTGACGGTACCTTTTCAGGTTTTCACTTCTCTCAGTGTCCCTTTTAGAGGCATCCTTCATCATTTGCCTTCTGCGTTCATCCTTTTCAGCTTCTGTTAGTTTTTTTGGCCTCTTCATCTCAGGTTTTTTTACTGGTTCCACTTTCTTGGTTGATTCTACTTTTGAATTCTGAGGATTTTTGTTGAGGGGAATTTTGGTACCATCTGCCCTGACAAGACCAAATGCCTTTTTTTTATGAACAACTTTATCTTCATCACTGTCATAATAAGAATAGGTGCCTTCTGTTGTTTTTTCTTTATGTTCCTCAGTGTCTTTAGCAGGTTGGGAGTCCCTCAATGACCTCAACTTCAGTAGTATCATTTTATCTAGGTCATCATCTGATTCATTTTTATGATTCTCAGGCACCCTAGATTTTTCTTTTTCTCTTGAATCCTTATTCTTTCTTTCCTTTTGAACATCTGAATCACTACTACTACTACTTCTAACTCTCCTTTTTCTATATTGATCTTTTCCATCAATATCTTTGTGTATTGTTTTGTATTTCCTATGTTCTCTTTCTTTAGATTTTTCTCTATATTTTCTGTCTCTCCCTTCAACTTCTTTTGATGCTTTTGTATCCAATTTATCTTTCCTAGATTTTTTTGTCAATAGCTTCTTCCTATCTTCTTCACTATCTTCACTAGAAACTTTTGGTCTTTTTTTAACCAGTTTTTTTTGTGTCTCCTCATCACTATCACTGATTTTGCCAGCTAGAATATCATCCAAATCTTCTTGAGATAATTGTTCCTTGAGTTCATTGAATTTATGCATCAGGATGGTATCTAAATGATCAGTATGATTCTTTTTTTGCTTCTTCAGCACATCTGTACCTTTATAATTGCTTAGGTTTCTCAATTTTTGTCTCAATTTCTCATCTAAATCCCTTTCTGACTCAGAATGTTTGGACTTTTTATGTTTCTTCTTTTTCTTTTTGATCTCTTGTGCTTTCAAAGCTTCCTGTAGCTTTTTAAGCTGAACAGGATTTTGAAGAAATTCTCTCCTTGCATCTTCTTCCTGTCGTTTGATAGCAACTAGTGGATCTTCTTGTAATTTTGCTGATAAATCAACCTAAATAAAATTATATTATATTTATACATTCAGAGCACAAACACTCAATCAAAGCACCAAACTGTTGAGTTTTTGTGAGATGATTCTTCTTGTTAACAATTTCAAGGATAGTTACCTGTTCTGCTTGTACAATTTTGTTGAAATCTCTTATGGATGGTGGTATACATTCATGTTCAACATGATTCTTTGGTGGAACAATGCCAAGCTTTTTCTCTTTTTCTTCCTTATTCAGTTGTTCCAGAGGTTTGTCTACATTTTTACCTAAAAGGTATTCTTCACGATTCACTAAACTGTTGGCTCCCTGGAAATGATGTCAGTGAACATTCCAGAATATTCAATGGAAATAATTAAACTCACCTTATACATCCAATCCAGTTTGCTGTTTTCTCCATTTTGGCCCATTTGATATTGTTTGATTTCTGGAGACACCAAAATCCCAAAATAAATGATAATATTTTGATTTTTGATAAAATAAATTTTTCTTTAGGCTGTCTGTCACTCTGAGTCAGCTGTCACTTTAGGTTATGTTTTCTCTCTGCTCTTAACGTTTTCAATTCCTCTAGCCCACAGGTGTCTATGACAACAAAACAAGGACACAACCCTTTTCACACAAACTATTATTGGTGTTAAGAATTCATAAAAATAAGAAGATTCAATTTAACCAAAAATTTACCAATTTTGACAGGCTGGACGTCCTTAAAATAATCATTTTATTTTACAAATAATGTGATATTGTAAAACATTTATAAAATGGATGAAGATGATCAACCAAAAGAGAAGGTAATTATTCTCTTTCCCAAGTTTCTTCCATAATTTTTCGTTTATTCCTTTCATCTGTTATATTTCCAGTCTCTGATCCTCTTTGGGCGAGATATCTCAAAGATTCCATGCTTTCGGAACAGCTTACTGTACGGTATTGGTGGAGGCCTGTTCTGTGGGCTAGGCAGATTCATGTTCACTAGTCAGCCTCTCAAATCTGTGAATTTTGCAGTCTATTCATTTTCATTCATCACCTTTGGCTATTGGGTACAGTGCAGGTATGAATATTCTAGAAAAAAGTTTGAAATGCTGCAGATGCAGCAAGCACTGCGACAGCATTCATTGATGGACGGTACTCCTGAAGGGAGAGATGCACAGACACAAAGTCAACTTGTAGATATTTGAATAATTTTAAATGTGTACCTATCCTAGTTAAGCACTAAAATATATTTGTTGTTTATATTATAAATGACATTATCATTTCATAATTCTTACTCCAACCTTTATGTAATATTTATCCACATGTACACATTTGTTATTTTTTACCTTCTGGCAATCCACCCTCAAATTTGAAGTAGTTTGGATGATTCAATAAGTTTACACAAAATGTAGAATGAGTAATACTTATTTTTTCAGTTAAAACACACAATTATATGGTATTATTTTTGTTTAAGTCATTAACACCAGTCTCAGTGAAATTTAAGACCTTAATCCCCACTTATCATTTGATAATTTTAGTCTCATTGGTGTAGGTATATGACATGCTACTTTCATCATAAACTGTCTGTGTTGGTAGTATAGTTAATCACTTCAGTTTTGATTAGTTTTTGTTTCAAATACATGGATTTTGAACAATAATGGAGAATCAAGATCAAATCTCTAACACAGCTGTGTACCTGAAAAATGTAAGTGTAATGTATGACTGAGATATTGAAGTCACCAAAAAATATTTCATACTCAGAATTTGATTTGAATTATAATCAAATATTTACAGTATCCAAATGTGAAAGCATTCTTAGCTGGTTCATTTTCTGGAATGATCTCTGCAATTTCACTACAACCTTTTGAAGTAATCAAGACTAGACTTCAAAATCCTTTATACAAACATAAATCGTGAGTGTCTCATGAAACACACATATGGAATACCTACAATTAGTATTTTTTAGAAAACACAGTCACAGTGGACCAGAAAATATAAGGCATATTCTCTCAAACATTCTTAGAGAAGGTCACATAAGAGAACTATGGATAGGAACTTGGCCTGTAAGAAACAATATAAATATCTTAGATTAGTGAAAATATTCCTGAATAGCTGAATTTTTGTTGTTGTTTGTTTTATTTCAGTCTCTTTTACGTACTGTGCCAGGTGTTGGAATATACTTCTGTTCATTGAATTTCATGAAGTCTCACTTCTTTATTGACAAATTACCTAATCCATTGGAGAATATAGCTATGGGTGTGATAGCTAGATGTACAGGTGATTCAATTTTGATGCCTTTAACAGTAGTGAAAACAAGGTAATAACCTGGTGCATATCTCAACAACATTTTCACATTTTTTTTCACAATCCTACAGTGTATTGATTAGCAAATATTATTTCAGAGTTGAGAGTGGAATGTATAGTTACAGATCAGTATTTTATGCTATCAAAGAAATACACCACACAGAAGGAGTTAGAGGTTTGACCAGAGGTATTGTGCCCATGCTCATGAGAGATATGCCCTATTCTGGTTTATATTACATGTTTTATTCCCAATCCAAGCAGCTGGTACCCAAAGGTATAGTCAATGAGTTGTTATAGGTACAATATTGAGTTGGCAAAGATCATGAAAATTTGAACATAAATCCTTCTTTTTAGATTTTTTAAACTCTTCCTACTCATCTCTGATCCATGGTGCCTGTGCAGCATCGTCCAGTATACTTTCTTCAATCATTACCCACCCACCAGATGTACTAAAGACAAGAATGCAGCTCTATCCCTATGAATTCAAAGGCTTATGGTCAGCAATTGTTCATATTAAAGCACATGATGGCTTTTTTGGTTACTTCAAAGGCTTTTTACCAAGAATGATGAGACGATCATTTGTTTCAGTCATATCTTGGACTGTATATGAAAGAATATCATAATGAATCAATACTCAAAAATTGATCAACCATTAAAATATTAATAGAGACATGGATTACCAAGTTAAGCTAGATTAAACTTCTGGAAGAGATATGTATTTATGAGTAGGTAGTATTCACCTACTTTAATATTATTCTAGTGAAAGGTTGCCTACTAAAAGGGATTATGAGAATTCAAATACACATGGTATAATAGGTATTTAATTTGAGGCATAATTTATTTAATCTGCTCTAATATACTGCCATCTTTAATAAGCTGTTCTCTGTCAATTAGTTTTAATGAAACACAAGCCACAAGAGCTGCCCCTTGCTCTGCAAATTTTTTATTCTTCTCCCTAGAAAATATTTTCATCAGAACTATTCACAGTTGAAACAAAAGTGAAAAAAAAGTATCCTTAAATAGTCAATTGTATTTACAGGATATTTGAAAATTCTTCATTGTAGTGTGATGTTGATTTGGCTTTTTGAATGAGTGACTGTAGAAGGTCTATGAACAATTGAAAACTTACCAATATGTAGAGCTGTATGTCTTTCCTTCTAGTGTAACAATTGCCCTAAATAATTTATCTTCATTAAATACCCTATATTTGGGCAGTTTCAATTTGTGTTTTCCACAGTGAGCTATTATTTTCGATTTTGGCAAATCAATGTCTGTACCATAATTCACTCTTATGAAAGCACATTTCATCTCAATGTCTATACTTTCATTATCTAAATCAGTTTTTTGCCTCTTTCTTTTAGGATCTAGAGTGTCTGGTCCTATTTCCCTTCTACTCAAAATGCCTTTAGACTGATACTCTAACTGTTTTTGACGGCAGTAGTCTCCTAGGTCCCAAATAGCACTACAAATACAAATTTCATGGCAGCATTGAATTATGTGTAGTGAACATACTGATTCACCTACCAAATCTGTTCCAGTGTTTGACATTCCAAAAATTTTTTTCCCCTAGGAGTTTCTTGGAGCTCTTTCAACATGTTTTGAACACAGTATTTGGTGTTACAAGGAGAATTGTCATAGTCAACAGCATATTTCAAATAGTCTTTGATAACTTCCTCAAGATGTTTCATTCCATCTTGTCTGAATACAGAACAATTTCCTTCAGCTGTCCTTGCTATCATTACACTACTACTCCCACATTGTTCTTTGAATTTGAAAATGTCTGAATAGTTTTCTATTTCTCTTGAACCCCCACTAATCAATAAGAAAATTGAAAAATAGGTATTTGTTTTGAATTATTAAAGAAATGGTGATAGGTATCTTCTAGATGATTCACTTTTTACTTACTTACTTTGCTATAACTGGAATATCCAAACATTCTGCAATTTTTCTGATTGTTTCACATCTGTTTGGATGTTGAGGCCTTTCCAATTTAGTTCTGCCATGAACACCAATAGCAGATATCCCAGTTGAAGCTAAACTTTTCACCAAATTCAAGGTATCATTGATATCCTCAAACACCCTTATTTTACAAGTCACAGGAATGCTAACATTTTGTACAAGATTTGACAAAATGGTTTTTGCCTTTTCTGGTTGAGTCAAAAGTGCAGCACCCATTCCACCTTTCAGAGAAAACTCTTTTGGGCAACCCATATTTATATCAATGGCTGCTACATCATTCTCACTGGAATTAATAATAGATCTCTTCAACCCATTTAGCAATGAAAACTTACACACACACACATTAATTTTGCTACTCTCAGTGCCCTACAAGGATCACTAGTTCCTAGCTGCACCACAACTTTATCTCTTTCTTTCTCACAAGTACGAAATACCACAGTTCCATCACTTGAGTCCAAATAGTCAATAGTTCCTAGTACATCTAGAACAATTCATTCATGAATAGTATTGAGGAAAAAAATTATACTAACAACATACCGTTAACTCGTCTTATGGATTTAAGGAACTTCCAGTCAATAAGTTCTTCTGTATATACTATGTCTGCCCCATAATCTAAGGATAGTAATCTCATTGGTAAGGTTCCTACTCTTACCATTGGTGCGAGAATAACTTTATTTGCGAAATCTAATCGAGTTCGTTGTTTGATTTCATTCCCTTTTCTATCAATAGTATCAATCATGTTTTATAACTAGGCTCTAAAAATGGGACTAATAAAAGTGAAGAGACAAATGTGGTTCGGTACTAACATCGCAAGCAATTTTTTTATTTTACGGCTTTTGTCTTTTGCCACAAGACCTATTTGCCACAGGGGTATTATGGTTGATTTTGTCAGGTGTCACCGCGATCGTGTGATTCGTGCCTGTCACTCCTGTCACTAAAGGCGAAAAAGTTGTATTTTGGGTTAGCGGTTAGCGTCGTTTTTCTGGTTTTTGTAGTTGGATTGGATAATTTTTCCAATACTGTGGGTGAAATTATTTCAATCATAGTATTAAATTTGTGATAAGTAAGTTAACTGTTTCATAATGAGTGTCGAAGAAGAAGTGCTTAGGATACAAAAGAAACTGAATAAAATGACATCTGAAGATGGAACTGTAAGTATTCTGAAAATTTTCCATAATATAATCCGTTTTTCTTCGTTTCAAAAACCTTCTGCCACAGCTTGGTTATCCTTGTTAGTATTTCCAGTAACCAGCCAATATAGGCCATGATTCATGCCCTTTACAAAGAGGAGAGGGGACTAACCTACTATTCTTTGCCCTTTTAGATTTTTAAATGAACATGAATTTGTGTGAGCACTATTTTCAACTTTTTCAGGGCCAGGAGCAAGCTCTGGATCTCCTCAAAGAACTACAGACATTGAACATAAATTTAGAAGTACTGACCAACACACGAATAGGAATGACTGTAAATGCTTTGAGAAAATCCAGCAAAGATGAGGAAGTCATAAGTTTGTCCAAAACTCTAATAAAAAATTGGAAGAAATTCTTGTCTGACACAAATTCAAGTGAAAAATCGTCCAGCAGTAGTTCCTCCAAGCCAAAAAAAGATAAAGAAGACAAACCAGTTCATGAGGAAAAGGAAAGAGAAAAAGATAGATCCTTACCCAAGCAGTTTCCAGCCAGTTCAAATACCACAGACTCTGTTAGACTGAAGTGTAGAGAGATGCTCACAAATGCACTGAAAACTGATTCAAATGAGGAAGATTTTGAAGGTATGCCAATTCAAAATACATACTCTCAATAGGGCCTTTTGAGTGTCAACTGGTTTATTACATTGATATTAATCAGAAACAATCTCCATTGGTCTAATTTTAAGGCCAGTTGAATAAATATGAACAAATCAATCAAATAGTGGTAATATCTCAGTGTTAACACAATTTACTTTTCTACTGAACTTTCATTGAATCCAAATTTTCACCTTTTACTCATCAGAAAACACTTCATTTTGAACTATATCATTTGAATTAATAATTTTTCATTCACTATATTCTTCATAATATGTCCCTACTATAATCTTTTTGGGGTATTGAAGATAATCAGTTATTTAATACAATGCCAAGTTTTCTGTTTGATTTGATATCACATAAATTTAAAATTTTCATCCTCCAGAATTATCTATGTTTATACCACAGTTGGTCTGGAATGAATTACCAAGATCCTCAAACATTTTTGAATATATATCAAATATCAGAAAGAAACATTACTATAGTTTCTTTTTGTTTTCACTTTTTCCTTAGTAATATCAATTTCAAACAGACTTGCCATTCTGTATTCTGAGCTAGTAGATTAATAAAAGAGACAAATTAAAAGCTAACTAAAAATACAGTGAGCATTTAGACCTGATCCCTATAATTAGTATTTTAACAATGAGGAAAAAATCTTAGTGATAATGTCCACAAGCTCACTGTGATATGCACCAGAAGCTAATGTTTAGCAAAACAATTGTCATGTTTTTACCTCATTGTTATAAAGAACTTTCATCAAGTGAAGCTGATCCAATGCAATATTTGGTATTTTATAAGGAAAACCATAAAAACCCCCATGTTTGGTTGGTATTGTTGGTAATAATAATGGGATCAGTCCATATGAGCAATAAAGTAATCATTTATTTTTGTTGCCCTAAAAGTACAAAGGGCAATTGAGTGAGGTCCTTCAGCCCATGTGTTCACATAATATTGATACATACTGTAAATTAATTAATTTGGTGATATATTTTTGATTCTATATAAATTTTGAAAAAAGGTGATAATATTGATAATTGTTCCCATAGCATGTGACTAGATGCCTGGATAGGTTCCTGATGATTGGATTTCTAAGGAGACACATTGTATAAATGATGTCTGTATTTTGTTGTTTCAATTTGAATTTATTTGTCCAAAGCTGTAGCCTGTCCTTTATTGGTTGTGTGGATGTGATCTGGTACAGGAGCTGGTTGGGAGGGTGATGTAGTGGATTATTAGGATGTTGAATCTTGATGATAGATTGGATTGCACTTGTTTTAGCTATTCTGACACACAATTCCATGCATTACCATATTCTATGAGGGGCCTGCATATTACTTTATATTTCTGACATTTTGTGTTCAAGTTTATTCCATTGCCTTTGTATGTGACTTGAAGAGATTTTGGCTATAAGCAAGTTGAAATTGATTTAATTTTATTCTGTTATTTCTAAGTAATTTGTATAGTTTGGGATGGATGGGTTTCCCATTAATAAATAAAATAAATTGATTATTGGGGAGTTGATGGAAGGTTTGTGATTGGAGATAATGAGATGAGATTTGCTAGGATTTGCTAAACCATTCTGTTGTGTTGTCAAGCTGATTTTGAAGTTCCACAAGATCATTTAGCTTGAATTGTTGAATTGGTGCACATCTTGATGGTATGTCATAACAGTAATGATTGTATAGAGTTGGTGAGAGGGCAGATCCTTGAGGGATACCTTGTTTGCCTTTGAAATTCTTTGGTGTAACATTGGCAAGCTCAACTTTCTGGATATGATTTTCATAAAAAGTCCTTATGGTAATGGGGAAGTTTTCTTCATAAAATAAGTTCAGAACTCTCCAGTTTTATGTCTGTACAGAATGGCGACCGATAAAGTCCAACTCGTTTTCATTTTCAGATTAAAGCAATTTCTAATTTTCCGTGCGGCAAACTGTGAGGTACATTCTGAATCTAGTCTGAAAATAGCTGATACTGAAGAATATAGCTAGCAAATAGCTAATGAATAGCTAACGAATGAAAAAAATAGAAGAAGTAGAACTGATGAACAAAAACATACATAACCACAAATGCACTCGGAGCAGGAACGCAGAGGGTAGTTGGCTTCATTCTGACAGGTTATGGTTTTGTTATTTATGCATTGAAATATCTAATAGAGTTAGAGCTCCATCCTAAAAGAGAATATCATTGAATCAATGAATCACTATCGGCTACACTCAATGATACTATCCTTCCTAATTTACTGTCATCAGTCAGAACAGAATGAAACCGACACCCATGGCTCCTTCCTCTTGTGCCTGTCAGTATTTTGAGTGGTGTGGACGGACGTATTAGGCGCTGTTGCAAGATATAATTGCGACTTTCCTAGAAAATAGATCCGTTTTATCAAGGAACCAATTCATTAGCAAAAAAATGACTGACAAGTTATGAATAACATATTGTAATATAACGATAGTGAAAAATTATAGATACTATCGCAAAATATCATAATTTATGCTTATTAGTAATCATCTTCATTCAGCTAATGAGAGATTTATGGGAATTATTCATATCACTTGACAAAGTAGGATTGAAGAACCCATTATATTCCATTGCTGTTATGATATAGCTATTATGCATTTAAAGAACAATTTCCAGAATTCTAGACATATATTGATGATGTCGGCAACGTCATACTGGCAAGCCATGCTGAGATAATGTCAACATCTCAGTCAGTCTCGAGTCGATTCCTAGATTGTTGCTAATACTTTTAAAATTATTTGATCTCAATATTACACCAATTAATAATTGAAAACTTTAACAAAACCTTCCATAAACTCCTTGTTTACTTCCTACACAATACACTTTGAATGGCCGACAGGTGCACTATAGATTGCAACGTTCGGTCGTTCGGACAATGTTGCCAAGTTTCTTCTTCATGGCTTGATAATTGAAGACGGCTGTGGCACAGGGAATCGTATTTTAACTCTGTGTGAATGTGGATTTGACTAAGTGTGAAGTTCCTCTTTTATTAATTTTTTCTGAAGTGAAATTTGATCTTACGAAAAAAAGAGAGAATACAAAGAAAAAATACGTATATATTAATTTTTTACAAACTTCACAGTGAGATAAGAACCTCAATACAAGAAACTTCCCAATTTTTGAAGGTTTTGGAGATCTCATCTTGTCAAGCTTGTAGATCAGCCCTTTATGCCAAACACTATCAAAGGCGCCGTTTATGTCCATGAATAATTAGCCACCAATTAGTGAGTGATGTTTTCCAGGTTGTGCTTCTGCAGAGGAACTGGCAGAAGAACTAGAAGAAGCCATCTTCTCAGAGTTCAGGAACACTGACATGCGTTACAAGAACCGCGTCCGCTCCCGGATATCCAATCTCAAAGACCCCAAAAACCCCACCCTCCGGACCAATTTCCGGATCGGAGCCATAACCGCCTCCAGACTGGCGGTGATGACAGCCGAAGAGATGGCCAACGATGAAGTGAAGCAGCTGCGAGACAAATTCATGAAGGAGGCGATCAACGATGCTCAGCTGGCGACGGTGCAAGGCACCAAGACGGACATGCTGAAATGCGGTAAATGCAAGAAGAGGAATTGCACTTACAACCAGCTGCAGACGAGGTCGTCTGATGAACCCATGACCACTTTTGTGCTGTGCAATGAATGCGGCAACAGGTGGAAGTTTTGTTGATTTTTGTGAGGCTAAGGGTTTTATTGATTTTATTTTGTTTAATTTTCATGATAAGTGCTATGTCTTATCCATCCGATTTGCTGTGTATCTTTAGAACTAGTTAATAAAGATCTTCAATTTGACCAAAGTGTGTGCTTTATTTTATTGAAAATGAGATAGGTTGCACAAAATTGTAATGAGAATAATGTTCCTTCAGAATTTTAAAAATTGCATAGCATAGAAAATTTGAAATACCAATCTGATGAAATGTGGGATGAAATGTTTTAAATCTGGTATTAAATGAAATAATAATAAACAACCTAGTTTTATTTTTAAATATATCTGAAATATAAATACAATATTACCATAATTTAATGAATTTCACAGAAACCTAACATTGATACCTGAATCAACCAAAATAGTTGGGCAGGAATTATGCATAAATGAAATGGTAAAACTGCTCAAAAATCAACTACCTAGTATACAGGAAAGACCATTCAAACATAATTATGTTTCTCCTTCTGTTGAACTGGGTTTTGTGTTTAGTCTATGTTGAGGATTTATGTGTCTCAATTATAAAAATCCCACTAATTTGACTGGAAATGACTTGATATTTATTTTATACTGAAATTTTAATAACTTATGACACTGATTCATTAAGTATTAAACTACACAGTTCCAAAAAAAGTGATGCACTTGATTTGATGTTTCACCTATCTTCTTAAAAAAAAAAAATTAGTAGGCCGATTTTTTTTGCATTTGCTAATAGGTAATGCATTTGTCTTTGAAAAAAAAAAAAAAAAAATATGGAGGTAAACATTTTTTCAAAGCCTTGATGGTGGAATAACTCGAACCATGATTTATTCTTAATTTTTGACTCACCCTGTGTGTTAATTGAGTAATGGTATACAAAGTGCTTACACCCTATACGAAAGAGGCTTCTTTTGCGAGCATTTTGTTTTTTTATTCATTGATTTATCTCTAAAATTTTCCGAATTACAGCTTTTTTGCTGATACCTTACGCTTATACCACAAATTAAATTTATTGAAGGATCAGAGTACTCAAAATTGATTGGGTTGTACTCTGGTAGGATCACATTGTCTTAAAAAAAACAAATGCCGTTCATGAAGCAACTGTTCGTAGAGCAATCCGCAAGTACGAACAAACAGGAAGCACCGCTCGGAGGGTCGGTTCTGATCGCCCCCGAAAATCTTCTCTAAGAGATGATCGCTTCTTGAGATTGCGGATTTTACGGAATCGATCAAATACTGCGGTAAATGTTCAGCAAGATCTTCGCCAAATTCGTGATGTTGCAGTAAGTAAGCAGACGGTATGTAGACGTCTAAAAGAAGTTAATTTAAAATCTAGGAGACCTGCAAAAGGTCCCAAATTATTGCCCGAACATCGTGCTGCTGGAAGTAATTTTGTTGAAAATTATGGACAGTGGAATATTCCTGAATAGTCGAATGTCTTGTTTACCGATGAGTCAAGGTTTTGCCTTAACATGGTGGATGGAAGAAAAAGAGTGTGGAGAAGAACTGGTGAACGGTTTAATCAAAATTTGATAACAGAATGCGAAAGTTTTAAAGGTTCATGTTTTTCCGATGAGGCAGTCGATCAATGCCCAAATTTACATTGACATTTTAGAGCAGTATATCTTACCTTATGCAGAGTTAGTGGGCAATAATTTTATATTGATGCAGGATAATATGCCCGACCACACACCGCAGCAATAGTGGGAAACATATTAGAAGCTACTGGTATTACCACATTACAATGGCCTGCGAGAAACCCCGATATGAATCCTATAGAACATTTGTGGGATGAATTAGGGAGAAGGGTACGATCTCGCGAGAGGTCTCCGGAAAGTCTCGCAGAAATGGTAGATGCATTAGTGGAAGAATGGGATCGTATACCAATGGAAACGATAAGCAACTTAATTTCCAGTATGCCTCGTAGATTAGAAGTTCTCAGAGTTGCTAGAGGAGGCAATTCACGGTATTAAGCATTCATCCCAATTTATAATTTTGTGTTGAATGTTTTTCAAAATTATTGGTATCAGTTCATTTCATTAGAAAATTGTTTCTCGATAAATTCAGAAAGTTGGTAATCTGGAAGGATTCAGCAAAATAAGCTGTAATTCGGAAAATTTTAGAGATAAATCAATGAATTAAAAAACAAAATGATCACAAAAGAAGCCTCTTTCTTATAGGATGTAAGCACTTTCTATGCCATTACTCAATTAACACACAGGGTGAGTCAAAAATTAAGAATAAATCATGGTTCAAGTTATTCCACCACCATCAAGGAGGCTTTGAAAAAATGTTCACCTTTTTATTTTTTTTTAGACAAATTCATTACCTACCAACAAATGAAAAAAAAAATTAAAATCGGCCTATTTTTTTTTTTCTAAGAAGATAGGTCAAATACCAAGTGCGTCACTTTTTTTGGAACTGAGTGAATTTTGATGATTCATAAAAAAGTGAATCATATCCCAAATCATCAAGCTTATTTGCCCACATTATCGACTTTTATTGTAAAAAATGAAAGCCTTTAATTAATTTAACTTTGGAATTGAAGAACTAGTTTCATTATTAACTGAATATCCTGTAAAGGTGGAATTTTCAAGTGAAAAAAGGAAATTAAATGGTTTCACCAACTTGAGGAGCAATAATTGAGCTCAAGGTTTTCCATTTGTTTATTCTTTGGGAAGAAATCCTACATTTTTTAAAGCTTCAACCTCTAAAATTGTTGTGTGCACAACGCACAACCAAAAACGAGAAAAAAAACAAACTGGTAGATGTTCTATAGTTTCAAGTATTCATATAATATTCAAATGAAAACAATAATGTATATGCTGGTATTTTCGAAATGGTTTCTCTATGAATAAATAAATTAGATTCAGGAAAGAAGACACAAATATAAAATAGCCATGCCATAATATAAATAATTAGAGTAAATAATATGTTGCTGCATCTCCTGCAAAAATTTTTGAGTCTTCATCAAAATATAAAAATAATAATTCCCAACAAGCTATTTGTTTTTTAATGTGTCATACTGTTCAATTCAATGAGGAGAGATATGTCTAGTTGATTTTTGGGGATAACAAAAGATGAGTAGCAATAGAACTATTGACAGGAACAGCATGATTAAATGTATTAGTGTCCAGGTATGGGTTTCAATTCCCTTATCTGTCTAATTAGGTAAGCCTTTTCATCATTGAATTGTTCATCTTCAGCCCTGTCAGTATGGAATCTCACCAGGAATTCAACCAGCTTCTCCTGGTTGCGCAACAGTATATCCAGAATGGGTTTGGGTTTATTAGGATTTGCAACAAATACCTAGAATGTGATAATATGAAGGAGGAATTGAAGCAGATTTTCAATTTCCCATGTAAAACCCCTATTTTTTTTATTGGAATTGCAATGATTTACCTTGAACACATGGAAGGCTTCAAACTGTATATTCCTAGATCTCTCTTTAAGCATATTCATCATTAACTTTAGATTATCAGGATTAGAAATATACCTGGTCATTACCTAAAATAACAGATTCAGTACCAGAAACAAAAGAGATTGTCAATAATTAAAATTATTTCATGAGTAATGTGATTATCAATACTGATAAAGCAATATTTAATACCCAAATACTTACTGTGAAATTATGTCTATCCAATAGTAGTTCCCCTAGGAGTTTCAAACTCTGACGCCTAGTCACATAGTTCTCAGAATTTAACAGCCTCTGATAGTGAGTGAACACTTTATCATAATTCATTTCTAAGAAATCAGCACACAAAAGCTTGTGTCTAGTCAACAACTCCTATAAATGTCATCACAGTTTTAGTATAACATAAATTGATCCATTCCTTGTAAAAGAAACTGTACCTTGAAAGTAGAGAATGCATCTGAAGCTATATCAAAAGTAGAGACCTCTACATATCTAAAGAAGTTATAAAAGTCATCTGAATATAACATAATCTTGGCCAAGGCTTCATATCTTGCACACTCACGTAGCATTGTGCCACAATTCAAAGCTATCTCCTGATGCTCATATCTGTAAAAACAATCAAATTCACATTCAAAAACTAGCAAAATATCAACAAACTAATATTTGGGATTGCCCAGAATCTAAAATAAACTTACCCTGTCATGAGAGTAAACAAGATTTCAGACTTAGTGCAGATATATTCCACTGTTGGGGACCTTGTTCCAATCTGCCTTCTTAGTATATTGTTGAAAACTTGTGCCACATCCTTCTTTCCTTCAAAGTCAATTCTATTCAGGTTCTGAATCAACAATAACAGTAAGTTACTATTGTACAGTTCTTGTGCTAGTTGAGCCACAATTATATCTGCCTGAGGCTCAGCATCAGAAGTCCCATAGAGCATATTTTTGATCAAGACAAGATTCTTTGATACATCCTCTTGGGCCTTCTCTGCCTTCTTATCACCTTTTTCTAGGGAATTGACTGCTTCTTTCAGTGCCTTCACTACGTCTGCTGGACCTTTCTGTGATTTCCCAAACAGGGGCATTGTTTAAATTATTTCAATTAATTCTGTTGAATGACGTTGGTTAGTATGTTTTTGGAGTGCTACCGCAGTATAACGACGTGGTGTTTCATATGTAAAAGGAACTGCGATGTTAGATGATCACTTCTCTCATTACAATATGAATGTTACTAAGCTTTATAACGAAGTATAAAACTTTTTTAGACCACATCTGACAGAACTACACTTGATAATATTCTCCAAAAATACGTAAACGTGATGTTCATTTTTTACCGAAGAAAAGTCAAAAGTGACAAGCGTGAAGTGAGTAATGACAATCTGACAAATGTCAAATAAAATTCTTCTTTTTCTTAAATTAGGCACAATTATGAACTAGATAACATCCGCATTAGCCAGATTTTATGGTCCTAAATCAAGGTTCGTTAAAGATTGACGGAATACCTGAAGTAAGAATCACAATCACAAAAAAGAATGTGGTTAAAATTAACATTGTCAACCCAAAATTTCATAACAAAGATATTATTCAAATCAAATCGTTCAAAATGACAACATCTTTTCCTACGAATTGGGATATAGAAGATTATAAAGACGATACCGAACCAGATGAACATTGGGAACTGAGGAAAGCATTCATGGAAGCCCACAAGGGTAAATTTTCAGAGGAATACCTAGTTGCTTTGGCAAGAACTTTCACAAACATTGAATTTATGGGATGCAGGTAATAAACCAAGAACTATTCACTTTTTGCAAGTGTTCATAGTTATTTTTTAGTTATCCTGCTGCCCTTATGGTTCGAATAGCTGAACTGTCTAAAGATGTGGCTCATGATTACAGGGAAATCAAAAAAACAAAGCTACAGAGAACTTTTGTCTCTGCTTCAAATGCTGCAGAAAATAAAATAAGTAACCATTTCAAATTATATGTCTTGTTCCTTTTGACCATTTTTGTTTTCAGAGAGAAGAAGAACTGATCCAGGATCAGCACCACCCAGAAAATGAGTTGATTTAATTGCATTACTGCTTTCTACCAAATTTGGACATCCTTTTTTATTTTCAATAATTAAAAACATGAAATAATCAAATCCAAGACTTTTATTTCCAAATATCCTATCACTTCTTATTAACAATTAAATTAAAAAAAATGGATATACAAGGAACTGCCTACATAATGGGATATAATATGAAATTCACCACAAAATTGCTCCCTCAATCCAAATTCAGTCTATTTATTGCTGTTATGCAAACTCTCTATAGAGACACTGAGTTGCTCCAACCTCTGTATAAGTTGACTCATAGTACTCTGTGATCTCTGAATATCATCATCATTCAAGCTAGGTGCTGTTGCAGATCCTAGATCAAAATGCAACTTTGCAAGTTTTTCTTGCTGCTCTCTAATGCTTGTCATCTGATCCATAGAGCAGCCACTACCAAAGGCTCTCAGCTTCCCTGAATGAAAATCAGCAAGCAGCCCTAAGAGGGCCCTTTCCATATGTCTCACATCTGGCACTTGAGATATAAAAGAATGGTGTCGGATATCTGTGTTACTTTTATCTACTGGGTGGCAAAAAAATAAAATAAAAGAAAGTGAAGGTTAAACAACAAATAATAAAACTATGATAGGCAAGAACTAACACTTCAAAATTATGTGTTAATTTTATCTACTAGCTGGCAAAAAATAACATGAAGTGAAGGTTAAACAACAAATAATAATAAAACTATGATAGATTAAAGTTGGAACTCTTTCTCCCTGGTAAAATTGATATCATAAGATTCAATTCCAGAGAAAAATGGCATTGCTCAATAATTGAAACATGTCAAATGAAAAAAAATTAAAATAATAACAATAGCAACTACAATCTCCATTTTGATCAACAATGCCCTTGCAAATAATGAAATCATTTGAAATTCCTTCAAGGAGAGATTGTTTAGCATTTATATCTACAAGATAAGAACATATACAAATGTTGATACATTAAAAAAACCCTCAAAAAACCCAAATGATCTTTTTATGTTCCAAATTTTGAGATATTAGAATAACAACCTTAGATTGAAATATTTCTCTCTTGTGTATTACTTTATGTATGAATGAAGAATCACTATACATGGAATGTGAAAATTCATATTGTTGAACTAGAAATTGAAAATATTCAATACCTTTATTTGCATTTCTGGGCCTCACAGTACTGCCCTTGTTACTTTCTCTCAGTTTTCTTTCATTTATGAAACATATTTTAGATCCACCTGCAAGTCCACTGTGCCCTTTTCTTGCACTATGTGCTACAGAGCTGTGGCTTGTGTTTCCTGAGGAAGAAATCTGAAAATTGTACTATATTCATCATACCCATACATTAATATCTTTCACATCTTACTTACCATTTTACTGCTCTTGATAGGTGACATGTTTTTTCCTTCTTGTTCATCTTGAGGAATGCTATCTTCATTTTCAGCATCACTAGAAACTAGTTGCTGTAACTCTGAAGTCTCTCTTGATTCCATATTCAAATATGTCTAAATTTTATACCAGGATAGTAGGTTCCTACTATGAATGATTTTTAAGTTCAAATTAAGTTTTGTAGCTCTTCAATGGCTCGAATAAAAACTCCAAGTTACTCTTTTTCTCATCACCAAATTATCAAATCTTTGATACCATAATTCACATTCACAATTTATTTGCGTATTTTAAGTTCATCTACATCTTTGATAGATAACAAAAAACAAAAACAATAAAGCATAACCAATTTTTCTTCTTCTTCACTTCCTGGCCTCTACTCATATGATATACAGCCAATAACTAATTTAAGTTGAAACTATATCTATGCCAGAGGAGTGGGCCGGGGCAGTGGGTTCTAAAAGAAAGGAAGAAGTTCTTTCATGTAGTCAAAACTCAAAAGGCCAAGAAACGTATGAGAAGAAGAGAGTAGAAAAATAAATATCAGCTGATTCATCTGATTGTTTTGTCAAAACTGACAGCCTTGGATCATGCTAAACTTCAGAGTTCATTAATCAGATAAATCCGCCTCAATGTAGAAGATGTGGCTATTTTTGAAAATCATTTATTTACAGGATTATTAAGGAGATGTAACATGGCTGATACATTCCAATTTTCCCTGAAGTATCAGCAATTACTGAGAGATCTGAAGAGCACTGTTGAGGGATTACTGGTAACACAAGTAGCTAATGTTTGGTCTATTTATGGTGGGCTGAATAGGCTCCACAATACAGTAGAAAAAATCTTCAAACATGGATGTAAAAATTCACAAAACGTATGTAGCTATTCTACAAACAGGACTTGATTATGATGTTCACCTAATATTACAGGAATCTGGTTACTACAATTTCGTGCAAGGTTTAGAATGGTTGCAACCAGAAAACACAAAATCTAACTTTGTTTTGGACTGTGAATACCGCACATATGTCCCTGCACATTTGAAAGAAAACAAAGCTTCAATATGGTTATACAGGAGCCTAGAAAACCATTCTTTGTCTCAAAAGCTTTCCTGGCTACTTTCAGATAAAAATCACCTGTCCACTTGTTACCACTCTTACTCATTTTTGTGTCAAGTGAAGTATGCTGAAGCCACGCTAATTTGTTTGAGAGCTGTAGAACGTAACCAAGCTAGCCTTATGTCTGAAATCAATCCATCCTTGTTTCTACAGAGAGCCAAAGAATTCCACAGAATTCATAGAAGATGTTCATCTTTCCCTGACAACCATCTCAAAAAGATATATGAGGAAAAGTCTTTTTTACATATTTCTAAAGTAAAAAATAAGGATAATTTTGGTACCCACCAGAGAGAACCACTGCCTGGAGTTGATAGTACACACAGTAAAGTGAAGTTGTGGCATAGCATGCCATCATTGCAAGTATCACAGTTCACTTTTGGAGAGAACAAAATTAAATTGCTTAGTAGGACCACTCCTTCCACACCAGTTCATTACAAAAGAGTTACCAACAAGTTATCACCAAGTGCCCTTCAGGTGAGTAAATAATCCTAAACTATTATAAAACTCACCAGAACTAAAAAACAGTAGAAATTTACTAATAATTCACCTAATAAATTGAATATGCAAAATAGATAAGTAGGTACCTAATCCAACTTCTAATTCAATTCTTTATTCATTGTAGGTAGTAAGTGATTAAGGTACCAGAACTAAAAACAGCTAAAAACCAGTAAAAATTTGATCCTAATAATGAATCACCTAATATTCAAAATAGATAAGTAGGTAATCCAACTTCTGATTCAGTTCTTTATTCATTGTAGGTAGTAAGTCATTATAGGGTCCTATAATTATAACTCATTCAAGGATCTTTAATTACTAGGAAGAGTGTATTTACCTGTATTCAATCCATATGAGCATTATTATTTGAGATAATCTTAATCCTTCATAGACATATGCTTACAATATGTTTTTGTAGTATATTGTGCTTTGAAGGAATTTGATTCATTTTAAACAGGGCTCACTCAATGGGTCTTCTTAATTAACCTTTATAATGTTACCTAAATCACAGTATACTTCAGAAGGTGAATTGTACTTGTCCTGACAACTTGAATGTTGAGTGGTCTATGCTAGAAGAGGTAATAACTTTGGTATATTCTGTATTACAGTGTACAGTGATATTTTTTTGTTTACTAAATTTTATCGGACTTGCATTACCAGTCCAGAAGTGGAATTGTCACAAGTGAACAACCTTCCTCGGTTTTCAGCAATCAATTTTTTTGACGTTTAAAACGTCAATAGGCAAGTGGATTTTTTTTCATTTTATTGAATAGGATCATCACTCACATACCTCTCAAGTTCATATTTCTTTTGGTCGGTCGATTTTTAGGTGCTAAAATGATCAATAATGCCACTGTGATTTTCAAAGGGTGGTGCAGAATTCAGAATCTTGATCACCCGGTATATGTCCCAATTAAATATCAGTAGATAGTTAATCAAAAGTTGAGATAGGGACATGTAAGCCGTTTTGACCAATAATGAATAGTTTGGACAAAAAAAATTCCTAAAGTTGAAAAATGTCGATTTTTCACACCCTATATCTCTGTAATCATTTCCGCTAGACCCCAAGCTAGAGCCAATCAGCTCTTCAGAGAGAATCTGAAAATGCAATAAAATACAGGGTGTTTCATTTAAAATAACAAAATTGTTGCTACTTTTCGATAGAAGCGGCAACGCCGCAGAGCTGAAAATATTTTAGATCGATAGACCAAGAGCAACTACGTGAGTAACCAAAATTTCAGAATGATCCTATGCCCCGTTCTCCATAAACGTCTAACGTACCATCGACCGTGAGTTACCCTGTATAAGAAATAGGAAACATAATTCAAGTATATTCCAACTCGAACTGCAAAGAAGAACACAATGATAGTAATGAAATACAGAATTTACTTTTTTAGAACTTAACTACCTACTTATAGTTATTCACAAATTGGAATGTACAATTTTGATAAACAGTATTTTTTTTATTATCTTCGAGATGGTTGCTCTCAAAAGAGTGTATACAATTGCTATCCAATTCAAATAAAATAAATGTGACATGAAATAATTTTAAAAAAAGATATCGTCCGCCGAGGGGCTCGAACCATCGACCATCGTATCTTCGCGCAACAACCCTATCACTTGCGCTACATCATCTGGTAATTAAAATAAATATTAGTCATAATAACTTGAATGATTGAAGAAGATTACTTTAAAAAGGAATTTGAATTCTAGTATTGTTGTGTCAGACCGTCAACAAATATGCAAACTTTTTGAAATACACCTGAAACGTCCAGCCAGAATAAAATTATCTCGCCTTTCGTACAAAATGTCTCACTAACGCGAATTATGAGTAAATAAAATAAAGTAGGTTAGGTTATTGTCTCAGATTTGAATCCAAAGCAATCTTGACCAGACACGATGTCAAAATTTTATCGCTGATAAACGAGGTTTGTTTGTCACGTGTGGGTCAATTCCGCTTCTGTATTGGTAGAGCAAGTCCGATAAAATTTAATAAACAAAAAATATCGCTCGAATACAGAAGAAACCATGAAAATGGTCGATTTTGATTGGTTCTCGAGATCAAGAGTGGAATTGTCATTAGAATACAACTCGTGATACTATTTTTCCTGGAAATATTCGTCGATTGACATACTCCAGCTTGCTGCTTTGATTCCGCTCATGACATCGCTCAGAAACTTCTCGCCTACGCCTTGAAAGTTTTGAGTATTGGAGAATCGAAAATGGTTGTAATAAAATGGCAGTGCCAGTGGCGTCGAATTTGGATATGTTCAATCAGTCATTTGCCCCTGCCATACGCCTATGGTAGTAACCAGAAACTTTTATTCCACATAATTTGGTAGGGTGTATAGGATCTACACTCTCTGCTAAATATGATGAATATACCTCCATTAGTTTCAAAGTGCTAGGCACAAATCATTTTTAAATTTTCAAATAAAACACCCTGTAACTCAGCCAGGAGGCACATTTTATCTAGTGATTTGGATTAAATCTTCATATTTTGAGCAAATGATTTTATAGCTGAAATATTTCCAATTAGTAATGACACTTGATCACTATTTAGCAGGTTCATTATTTATGATTAACTGAATTATAGAGCATAGATTCCTGACAAAAATTATCTTGAACGTGATATTAAAAAATTGTGCGAGTGATTATGTCTTTTGTTCTTGAATCATATTTTTATTTCAGGTTGATTACAATAAAATCCACCAGAAATCAAAGAAGTCTAGTGCACACCAAAGACCGTCTACTACAACAAATATCAATACTACTAAGACTAAAGAAGTGAAACATGTATTGATAGATAACCAATATATTGTAGAACACACCCCATCTCTGAGCAGTTCTCAAGGCAGTACTATCGTTAATGACGACACATCTTCAAAATCCGCAACACAAGATAACATGGGTAACTTTGAAAATTAGTTTTTCTGCAACCGTCCGAGAAGTACCCACTTCCTGAACCCTGTTTCTTTGGGAAAGTAGCATTTTCCCGACCTAGTCTGGAAAGTGAAATAGTCACAGTCATAGCAATATTTTGTCATGCATTTTTTCACTCATATTTTCATAGACTTGAGTATATCGATTTAAAAAAACCTGTTCCTGAGAAAGGCCAATAAGTTACATACGGGGTGGAGTGAATGATTTTTTTGGAAATTCGCGAGACACGTCAACGTTAAATCTATTTACCTAAATTTGGCGAGCAATACGGAGAATATAACCCATCAGGGGTAGCTGCAGAGGTTGACAAACAACAATCTGTTTAACCAAATTTTATTGTTAATTCATCAGCGATCTGATAAAGACACAAGAAAGTGGAATGACGTTTTCATTTATCCATTACATAATAAATTCCACACCTAACATTTTCCACTAATTGAAGACTGTATTTTGTATCGTTACCATAGCAACTATACAAATTTCTGGAAATTTTTTCCCTGTTCTTAGGGGAAGGAGCATGAAATTACACTGAAATTTCTTTGACGTTTAAAGGTAAAATGACATTAACATTCAACTTCAGATTACATTGAATTCATTCTACTTATGAGTTGATGAGTTCCTTGTAAGAAAATATATTTCTACCAACTTTTGCTAAATGAATTCGTAAAAAACTCACAGATTGAGCTACTATCGACTTATTTTTCATTATTTCATCTCTGATTTAACTGAAGTTATTTAATCATATTCTATTTAACCTAATACTATTACATATGCAAATTTCATTGATACTAATAGTACAAGTTTTTTGTGAAAAAATATATTTGTACCAACTTAAGTCAAATCAATTTGTGAGAAACTGAGAAATTGAGCAACTATCAACTTATTTTTTCATTATCTTGTGTAACTAAAGTAAGTTGATTGTGTTTTATTCAACCAACCAATGTTATGGATATATTTCCACCAACTTAAGTGGAATAAATTCAGTCACAAATAATAGTTTGAATTACCATCAGCTGCCTTATTAATATTTTGCATAATTAAAATAGGTATTTTGTATTTGATTTAGCGCAATCGTACCCTAGTAATTTTTTTAAATCGCGGTCTGAAAATTTCTTACTGAATACCACTAGCTTCAATTAAAAACCGGTAATTTTTTCTCGAACACGAATATTCAGAAAATTGTCGTGTTCTCGAAAAATTTCCGGTAATAATTGAAGCTCTCGTGTTAAAAAGTGATAATTTGACAATGAAAAAAAGAATTATTATTTGCAATTTGAATTAAAAAACAATTGGTCTATTTGTCTATTGAAACGTATAGAAAACGTATATGGCTTTACATCACTTGAATTTCCCCAAAATCCCTAGGTAATAACTGCATGTCCCATTCTCCGATATCGGTGATGGACTCTTTTATGCCCAAATCTGGCGAAAAGGACTTCAAGAAGTTACCGAAAAAAACGTTCATAGAGGACGGAGGCATGAGCGTTCTACCGATGGCGACAGGGTATTTCCCTAAACCCACCAAGGGCCAGAGCCTACTGTCTTTCCTCACTTCGGGCAATTTTTCCAAAACCAACGCGGAATTGGACAGGGAAAACGCCCATTTTAATATATCCGAGGCTATTATTTCAGGTGAGAATTCTTTCATAAAGGTGCTTTCTAGATATTGAAGGTGAAATCGAGAAACATAATCATCTAATTTGTAAGCGTCATCATTTCAAATTAAACACGCCAATATTCACAATCAATGTATTGAATGGAAATTTGAGAAAACGGCCTTCCTTATGATTATCCATAACTATTTGATTCGGAATTTTCATTTTTTCTTTATATTTGATATTGTAATGAACCTGCACAATTTTTTTGTAATATAACTTCAATGCCTCCAATCTATCACTGTTTTTATTTTTTAAATAGTATATAAGTGTATACCTAATGCAAAGCAATTTCAGGCTTTAAAATCACCTAATAGGCGATTCAAAATAAGCGATACGCCCTCTTGTGGATATTCAAGTAACAAATGGAAAGTACATTCAAGTTTCTATGCATTAAATCGAATGTAAAGTGATCATTGTGATATTTTCAGAGTTTGAATTCTTCAGTAGAGTATCCTAAATCATTATTGCTCCGTTTCACATGCTATTCATGAAAGTTGTCAATCAGTGTATACCTGAAAGTTTTTTATCTCAACTTCGAGATTGAATTTAGTTGCATTTTATTCCCAGAAGTGAAAAGTTACAGTAGGAATTTGAAAAAAAAGAAATTCTCACTCGACAATAAAGCACAAATGTTCAATTTCTCCTACTAGGTAGATTAATTATTCCCAGATACATTCAGCTTTAAGGTTCTCTTTCATGAACACATATATAAGTAGATGAATAAAAAATACTCAAATACCTATACCTTGTGAACATCATATTCACTCCACTTAATTTGAAATATTAATTTTAATGCTGAATGGGAATGAAATGCAAACCTAACGTAACCTCAAATTGGAGCATTTTTATTTTGCAATCCCATGTATTTTAAGAAGTAAAATATACTTTATTGATAGAATTCTCTTTGCTCAAATCACTATAAAAAAATCGAAATAATTAGCACAAGCAAATGAACCATTTCAACACCATGTATATACTTTCATATAGTTCAACAACCGACCATTTTTTCGCTGCGATCTTGTAGAATTCAGTCGCCTTATTCACTGATTCCTCCTTTAAAATGGTCATTTCTCTTAGTGTTAAACAGTTTCTGCTATTCGTTGACAACAGTTACTGTCAAATTGAGTGTCGTTTGTCGAATACATTGTCATTTGTCCATTATAATGAGTTTGAAAAACAACGGTTCTATGAAGTTACTCTTGCTCTTATTTTCAATAAATAACAATTCAACAGTTGTTGATCCTATAGAAGTATACTCATTTTGACAGTGGCGCCGATTTTATACGCATTTGACATTCAACACCTTTGTTCCCAACATCCAACACACAATATGAAATGTTTAACCTTTTCCAAATCAAATCAGAAATCGTGATAGAAAATATCATGTCGCCCCATCTGACGACAATTTGAACACTTCTGAGCGGTTTGTTTTGAAGGATTGACCAATAATCACAAATGGAAAACAAATGTGAACCAATAGAAACAAAGTAAATATACCGCTTTGACAGCTTTCAAAAACTTCGATAGGTGCCGTACGTTTATTTTCTATCGCGAAATTTCTATGAAAAAATATGTTTGATGCACTGATAACTTGCCTTGAATTTGACAGACGTAGAAACAGTCGGCAATTGTAAGAGGAGTACCTATAACCTGTATGTTTTCCCTCTGAATTTCTATACTCCATTTCCATAAACTTTTCACTATCACTCTCAGTTCTGAACTAATACACTGGATATCACCATTTGAAGCCACTGTTTAAATCAAAGAGATCACTTTTATTTTTACATCCACTCTCATTCAGGTATCGAATACAACTGGGCAAATAGCGATAAGTTATTTCTGATTCATTTCTGAACGGATGCTTTTATATAACAACCCTGACTAATATCTGTTGATATGCTCTCGAAGGTATTATACAGGAAGATTCAAGAATATTGTTAATAGGAGCTATTAATATTGATTCCTAATAATAATAATAGACCAATCCGTATTCAACATTGATTTAATTTCAACAGGGGGTTGAATGAAAAAAATCCACAAAGAAATTTTGACGAACAAAATCCCTCTATAAGTTCCGGTTTGTGATATTTCCAGTGATAGAGAAAGTTAGGTTTATGATTATTAGAAATACCATAGAGATGCCTAATATGAGACTCATGCAATGATATACCAAGTGTTTTTTGTTTCATGAGTTGGTTTTTGGGCCATAACTCTTTGATTCCAGGTTTAGCTTTCTCAGGAGTTTTTCAATTTTTCAATTCAATTTATTCAGTAGAAAAAGTAAGAGATAATAGGGTGGAATTTGAATTGCTCATTATGTACAGGGTGATTCACCATAAATGTTTCCTTTTCTACCTCACTTATTTTCGAACCGATTTCATAATTTTAAAAATCATCCGGAATGATTTTTCCTAATTATTTTTCTGCTACATTAGAAAATACAGGGTGCTCGGAACAAACAATCTACAGGGTACTCGTTGATTTTTTTCAAATGGAACACCCTGTATTTCATTGCATTTTCATATTCTCCGTGAACAGTTGATTTCGAAAATGTATCACACTTGGGTCCAGCGGAAATGATTAAAGAGATATTGGGTGTTCAAAATCGAGATTTCTCAACTTTGGGATTTTTTTTGTATCTAAACTATTCATTATTGGTCAAAACGACTCACAATTCACATGTCCCTATCTGAACTTTTCATTTACTATCTACTGACAAATATTTGGAACAATACAGGGTGGTTCAAGTTTCCATGTTCTGATCACCCTGGTGTCTGTTTCAATTATTAAATATCAGTAGATAGTAAATCAAAATCTGAGATATGGACATGAAAGCCGTTTTGACGAATACTGAATAGTTTCAACAAAAAAACCCAAGGTTGAAAAATCTCGATTTTGAACAACCTATATCTCTGGGGTATCATTCCCGCTAGACCCAAAGTGTGATACATTGATGAAATCAGCTCTTCAGGGAAAATCTGAAAATGCGATGGAATACAGGGTGATCCATTTAAAAAATCAACTAATATCCTGTAGATCGTTTGTTCCGAGCACCCTGTATGTAGCGAAAAAAAAATTATCAAAAATAATTTCAAATGATTCTTCCGATCCCAACGGTTCAAAAATAACTGAGCTAGAGGGGGGAACATTTATGGTGAATCACCCTGTACATGAAATTACGATCATCCAATTCTAGCTATGGAACAGATCAAGTGCAAGCAGAGCTATAAAATCGTTGACGAGCACGATGACAGTGATCCGGAAATTATGGATTTGAAGCAGCGAATCAGGCTGAGGAGGACTGAAAGGGCAATTCAGAGACATAAGAAGACTCTGGCAGCTAGTTTGAGGAGTGATGGCAGAACAGATAGTGAGTTATTGTGCCTGAAAACACAAATTATTGATCCTTCAAAATTTTTAACCCTTATCTGGTATAGTGTTGTCCCCGAACGTAACTGGTATCGTGGGGTATTTCAACACCCCATTTTATATTAGGTCATAATCACAATAAACAAACTCATGACCCTTCTAGAAAGATGTTATTTTGTGAAAATATCTGATCATGAATCTATGAACCACGAAAAAACTCTATTCAAAATTGAATTAACAGAAAGAGAATTATTTGGTATGAGTACTGCAGGAGAGCTAAAAATCCATATCCTTTGCAGGCACAAATAGTCACCGCTTGAAGTTTGGCCGCATACATCCTGTATATTGGCCAAACAGGTAAGACTATCATATATGAAGATATCTATGATGTTTTCTTGAAATGAACGAACAGATTCAACAGACAATGATAAAACGTAGCTATGGTTGGTTTACTTGTCAATTGATTTCTCTGGATTTGTTCTCCAGCTTGGACGAAGTGGATGACTTTGACATCACTCAATGGTCCTTTTACCAATAGCTTCAATGATAAAAAGTTATCAAAAGTGCATAATTGACTTCAAGGCTTATATAAACATATTCCATAGCTTGGTGGGCTAGATGTTCCTTGAGCATGGCACTGATAGGTCTGCTGGTTTGTCCTATGTAGTTCATCCTGTGGCTCCAAGTGTATCTACTCTGTTTATAGTGAGTGACATCTGCTTCTTCACTCATTCCGTCCTTTTACCAATAGATTTCATGGCTTCAATAAAAACAGCTTCAAAAGATTTCATAGCATAACAATATGAAAGTTATCAACAATGCCCAATTGTCTTCAAGGCTTTTAAATATATATTCTATATTCCATCTACTACAAGGCTTCCACATAAACATATTCCATTGGTCTATTAAATTTGAATATACCATATCTTGGTGGGCTAGATGTTCCTTGAACATAGCACTGATAGATCTGCTGGTTTGTCCTAAGTATTTCATCCTGTGGCTCCAAATGTATCTACTCTGTTTACAGTGAGTGACATCTGCTTCTTCACTTATTCCGTCCTTTTACCAATGAATTGCATGGCTCCAATAAAAAAAAACTTTATAAGATTTCATAGCATAATAATATGAAAGTTATTAACAATGTCCAATTGTCTTCATGGCTTTTTGATATATAATTCATTGGTCAATCAGGTTTTAATAGACCATACTTCAAATGTGATTCTTAAGTCTAGCACTGATAGGTCTGCCGGTTTGTCCTACGTATTTCCTGTGGTTTTAAGTGTATCTACTCTGTCTGGAGTGAGTGAGATCAGCTTCTTCATTTATATTACAAAAATGATGAGTGAATCGGTAAACAACCAAATAAATGGAACGTGACGCGCAGTGGTAACATACTCTGCAGACGAGAGTAGGCTGACTGACTGGACACGTCTTTATTAGTTCCTATGAAATGATTCACACGTACCAAGATGCTATGTTTTGTACACTGGGCATTCTCGGGGCGCGCTAACAATTCATTTCAAGATTTCCCGAAGATTTTTCCTGTAGATTTTTAGTACATCTTTTTTTGTCTTTCAGCTGCCACAACGGTCACCCGCGTTCGTCCATCTCGGAGTTCGGCTCGGAGTTCTCCGGCTCAGACGAAGAGGAGGACATCAACATCACTCAAACGACCTTTTACCAATAGATTTAAGCGTTCCATCAAAAAAGCTTCAAAAGTTTTCATAGCCTCAATGATATGAAAGTTACTTACAATGCCCAATTGACTTCAAGGCTTTTTAATAATTGTATATTTTATTGGTCAATCAGTTTTGAATATACCATATACTTCAAATATGTGCTAGATATTCTTTGAGCCTACTGATAGGTCTGCCGGTTTGTCTTACGTATTTCCTGTGGTTTTAAGTGTATCTACTCTAGAGTGAGTGAGATCTGCTTCTTCATTTATATTAGAAAATTGATAAGTGAATCGGTGAACAACCAAATAAATGCAACGTGACGCGCAGTGGTATACTACTCTGCCGACGAGAGTTGGCTGACTGGAAATCAGGTCTTTATTGTTTCCTATGAAGTGATTCACACATACCAAGACGGTGTTGTCATGTTTTGCGCATTTTTCCAGTGAATTTCTGTACTTCTTTTTTTTTGTCTTCTAGCTGCTACAACGGTCAGCCCGTGTTCGTCCACTTCCGAGTTCGGCTCGGAGTTCTCCGGCTCGGACGAAGTTGAGGACTTCGACATCACCGAAACATCGAAATTGGAGGAGAGCGCCGGTCTGTCCATGTCGATGGCGTCCCTCTACTCCGAGGCGGACCTGACGAAGCGGGCCCGAGGCGCGCCAGACGGGGCCTCCGACATCACTTCCGCCGAGGGGGTGGCGTTGTCGTTGATCAGCAAGTTCAGCGATAAGCAGTTGCCGAGGTAGCATTCATTTAGCACAATGGGGTTGTACACCGTAGTCGAATTTACGACACATGCCTATTTTATATTGATCATGAAATACAATATGACCAATGACAACAGTATTCACATTCACAGAAGCTAAAGGGGCCAATTGGTCCCCTAATAAGCACTTATTGAATACTTATATATCTTGCATGATAATTCAGTGCCAATAAGTATATCCCAATATTCCTAATAATGATCGATATTTCATTGAAACCTAAACTATTTTGTGATACGAGGTCATTGAAATATCAAGAAATAATTCAAACTTGACTTTCAAATGTCACTCTCGTCTGTCACCTTCATCTAGTCGAATCTAGGGCCAAATCCAACAAATACTGCGAATATTGAAGATACTCCTCTATTATCTGATTCTTCAGTTGTGTTGTGTTCTCTGCAGTAAGTATTCAGTCCAGAAAATTGATTTCATAAGGTTTTTCATGTGACCTATAGCAAATTCCAGTCACTGTGAAGCCCCACTCTTTTTCGTTCACAAAGTTACTTTTTTATGAACACAGGGGTCGTGATTATTTGGGCAGGCGGCATTCTATGTGGTATAGACATTATGACTATATAGTTATGGATAAATAATATTCAAACATCTTATGGTAAGGCAGAGGAACATTCACTGATTGTTTGAAATTACTTACATTTTGGGCATTTCACTTTGTCCTTTGTTGCAGTCACAGAAACGGTAAATACATAGTATATACAGTTCACAAAAAGTCACAGTTACAAGTACACTAGTCTTCAGCGAACATGTCGCGGTTGTACAGTATGAGCGCTTTTATTGCAGCGGTGATCAATGGAGCTGACATCGTCCATGTGCGACATGATCTCTCAAGACGAGTGTACAAGTCTGTAAAACTCGATAAACACTATTTTCTTCCAAACTCACTGGTGGCCCTTATATGAACAGATCAAAGACACTTTGGAGATGATTCGAGACTTAATGCAAGCATGTTTTATGAGTTGAATCAATATTATTTCCAATGCCCATTGGAAACACTTTCCAACTAACAGAGCAGAGATCAAATCATCAAATTGGAGTGATCAAGCCTCTTTCTACGCTGTTCCGATCTGTTCTCCCAGTGTCGCCAAATATTTCGATTCCTTAAATGAGTTCATTCACGTAATAATATTGCTCATCATCGAAATCTATCTAAACCTCATAAACACTTGATGAAGATTTTTCGAGTTCATATACCTTAAATATTTACTGTCTTAATTTGAAACCACCTACTACTTCCTAAGTAGTGCATTCGTTCTCGTAATGATGATTCCTGCGTTCATTACATCACCTCGGATTTTCTGTCAAATATCATTTTCACTTAACCAAGGAAGCCATTGATAAGCCAAGGCTAACATTACTGACCATTACCGAACTCTCAAGCAAACCTGTATCCACTTTCAGAGCTTCTGATCTGGAGTGGCTAGTCTCAGAAGAAGATGCTCCTCAAGCCCTGTTACCTCTACCAAAGAGCTGGCCTGTCAGCCCTGACAGTGCAGAAGAAGTTGTCACCCCTTTGAGGGGTACGCAAGAATGGGCGCCGCCTAGGGCACAAATTATCTTCACTCTGCATCCCAGTCCATCGTGAGTACTTCTTGATTATTTTGAATTGTTGGTATGAAGGTTGGGGTTTTATCATAAACTACACTCCATAGACCTCCAACTTCAATGGACCGACCTTATGCCATTCTAGTTTAGCCACCAAACAATAGGTGGCCATTTGACATAATGATCCGTGATAGTGCTCAGGCATTGATTTCAAAATGGCGGTCATTTATTGTTTGACGAATGACGATTGATATTTCTTTGTTGTGAATGTTGTGATTTTTTCCCGTCTTCAAGTGTGGTTTTTCCGTTTCAAAGTGCTAAATTCTCGATTTATGGTCTTTACTTCATTTTTCGATCATGATTGAAGAAATCAATCAGCATTAATCTACTTTTGATTCGAACAATAGTGAAGTTTATGATGAGACTGGACTAGTGTGCAGTACCAGGATGTGAGATTTGACATTTTCTCTGGACATCGTTTTCCAAATATTAGGAATGAAAATCCCAGGTTTATGTAGAGGGTAAAGTGTTTGAAGATCCTGTGATAATTGTTAAGTTATATTTCATTGTGATCATTACAGGTGTTTTGCATAACCTAATTGAAAAAGTATGCATTTTGATAACTAGCTCTCATTTACCGACCATTTCACACTGTCTGTAAATTGTGAGAAAAGATGAAAGCATAAAGTGCTTATGATATTTCCTCTCTTCCACTATTGACTCTCTTCATGTCAAATATTTGAAAATATCATGAATTATTCCAAATTCCCGCTATTCGAAATAGTTGCGCCACCAAACACCAGAGGCGCTGATGGCGAAAATGGAACAAGAGGTTAACATGTGCGTTGGTCATCTAGGAGAGTGTAATTTATCTATGGGTTTTATAGTTTTTGTAAGTTCAATTTATCCAGTTGATTACTTGAAATAAATTGATGCAAATTGATTTCGCGCAGGTAAGCAACAACGTTAACGCGCTTTTTCAAACGTCTATGAAGTATAAGCAAATATTTTTGGATGATTAAACTAACAATGAAATATTTTTCATGTCGTTTTGCCTTCGTCAATACTTTGAAATAATGCTAACAACTGAAATATGGGACTATGAAACCAGCTAAATCGAGAATGTGATGGTCATATGTTAGATATTATGGTAATGCCTTCCATTTTATGCACAGCTGCCACTTGATATTTTCAACATTGATTTTTTGTTCTGTCAGTATTGAACTACCATAGAAAAGTGACCATGTCTCACAGATTTTTGATATTTTCTGGTAATTTAATCCAAATAATTGACAATCACGAAGTGGCTATCAACATCTAGTTTCAGATTTGAAACTAGAAATAGAGGTGATCCATAAACTGATTCAGGATTGCCCAGCATAGGGCCTATCATTTTTAGAAAGTGAACACTGTTTCTATTCTTTTCGGACACATTTTGTATCTTGATTGACTGGCAATAATTGTTTCCTCACACAAATTTTCTCTTTTCTCAAAAAATAATGCAATTCATGAATGCAAAATTGAAGGTTAGTTTCAAGATGGATGGATACTATAAATGTACATATTATATATGATCACGTTTATATAAAATATACTCCAATGTCATTCATGAAATATGCATACCATTCCATTGCAATTTACAATATTGAAGTGGCAATTTTTATAGAAGGAAGGAACTAATGGCAAAACAGAACTACCGATGTGCCGGTTGTAGCATGAGAGTGGCCCCAAAGTATGCAACCCGATTTCGATACTGCGAATATTTGGGTAGATATTTTTGTACCGGGTGTCACACGAACCAGCTGGCACTTATACCAGGACGTGTTTTGCAAAAGTGGGAATTCAAGAGGTGAGACTTTTTCTTTTAGTCACCCATTTGCGACTTAGTCAAGAGATCTACTGTAGAAGTCTATGTTATTTCAAAGTGGAGTGAAGTAGTTAAAATAAAAAACTCTCCAAGTCGTCTTCACAACGGTTAATTTCAAATTCAAGATGGGGGGGAACATGTTTTATCATCAGCCAGAAAGAAATTATTGTGGAGAAGAAAAAAGCAAAAACATGATCTTGATCATAAACATGGTCTATTAACCATTTAACCATGCTCATTATGACCATGTTTTTGCTTTTTTCTTCTCCACAATAATTTCTTCCTGGCTGATGATGGATACCTTTTGGGTCCAAACATGTCCCCCTAATCTTGAATTTGAATTTAAACATTGTGGAGACGCCTTGGAGAGTTTTTATTATATTTTATCTAGAGATGTGTGGAATTATCAATTTAATTTTCAATTTTTTCCAGGTATCCGGTTTCGACATTTTCATATAGACTGTTGGAGCAAATGTACACGGACCCATTATTTAGGATATTCGAATTGAACAAGAATATCGGAAAAAAGGCGAAAACTATTTTGATGTGCAGAAGATTGAGGATAGGATTGTCGTATCTGAAAGATTTTATATTAACCTGCAAATACTCTGAAGAGTAAGTAACTGCTCACAATTTTCAAAAACCATTCTGAAATTTGTTTTTTCAAGTATCCATGATAGATTGGAAGAAATGTCCGCTAGTCTGACAGATCCTGACGTCTATTCTATGGAAGATCTAGTCAAAGTTCAAAATGGAGAAATGATTGCTAGGCTCAAACATTTGGTGGAAATTTGTTGCAAACATACAGCAGAATGTAAGGTAGGTCTCCTGAAAGCCGATATCAATTTCAAGATTTGACGTTCTGTTATTTTTCTCACTAATTATTTGAAAATTACTGACCAACCTAATTAGTGAAAAATTGTCATTCTTCATTACTTTCAGTTGTGTCTAGCAAGGGGATTTATTTGTGAAATATGTAATGTAGACCAAGTAATATTTCCATGGCAGATGCGAATAGTAGTGAGATGTGATAAATGTGGCAGTTGTTATCATCAGACGTGCTGGAATCCGGCTACAAAACCATGTGAAAAATGTCTTCGAATACAAAAACGGAAGGAAAATGCTTGTAGAAGTTGATAGCATGATATTTATAAAATGTATTATTAGAAATATTTATTATGGACTATCCAGGACAGGAGTGCTATTTTTACATAAATAAAATGATATATTTTTGTTGAAGATGTCTGTTATTCAGAATACCAAAGGGAAAGGCGGTTTATTACAATCCATTCCCAGACTGGAAGCATTTCACTTTCTCAGTTGCCACTTGACATCATGAAACGGTGGAAGCTAGAGCAACGCGTGTTCGTTATTGTTATTTCACAAACACTTGATTCCTATGCCCCTTCTTTTAGAAGTATGCAAGAAGAACACACTGACCAAAGAAGTGGAAGAAAGACTAGCTATTTTCCTAACCAAAGATTTTGAGAGGTGCAATAGAAGACTCTAAGTAAGTTATTGTACAGGGTGGGGCATAGGAATCAACAATAACGAACACGCGTTGCTGAATACTTGCAGGTGTAGCACTTATGATAGCTTAACAGCCAAAGGCACTTTGCGATTTACTTATAAAAATATTTAAACGAAATATAACTGTCTCCATTTGACTAACCTTATGAGTTTCAACCACCATCAGGTGAAAATTGAAGTCAATAAAAACTATCATACAATTTAAAAAATGGTGAATACAATAGGGACCAAACCACTTGGTATTGAATAACCGGCGAAGATTATTTTCATGAGTTTATTTCACATAAAACAATTTATAAATAAAACACCTACTAGTTGAATTCATTCAACCAAACAACCAAGAATGTAACAAAATGAGATGTGTCAATGAAAGAGATAAATCAGTCATTAAAACAATGTTATATTTGCATTAAAAAATCAACTAAATCAAAATGGATATAAAACAGGACTGTTTTTGGAATATACACAATAATACAAGAGATCTTTGAAAATCAGATGCTGTAGTATGCAGTGAATTGTTCAAGTACACGGATTTTTTCTAAAGCAAAATATATAAAAGATTATGAATGTTCCAATATTTTGAAAGACTAGTTACACGTTTTTGAATGAATGTACAATTAAACTTGTGAGCAAAATGCTTTGATCTACATTTCCTAATACTCTCGATGACACAGTTATTCACAACACGAATTAAAATATATATTGTGTATATCTTACATACAAAAAACGATTATTGTATAATGTCAATAAAAATTATGTTTTCGAGGTACTTATCGTGTCGGCTTTTCCTATTGAAATTACGGTTAAAGGTCTTCGTTGGAAATGAGCGGTGTTTTGGCGACTTCGAAAAATATTTTGTGTGAATATTTATTACGTACTGTCATCAGCTGTGTTTTTATTGGGTGATGGAGACCCGTGTTGAGTACTGTCGCGACGTCTTTGAATTCGTCAAGTTTATAGCCTGAAATCAATATACAGTGTCACTCATGAAGTTCACATCACATGGCACATTTGTATAGTTATTTTTTCTCCAAGGAAGTTGTGAAAAATTATGTATTCATATATCTCATTACATCCCTATGGTGGAAGTAAATTCTTTCTTTACGACTAACGTATCCTACATTGATTACATATTGGTTAGTATTTGATGAATGAAGATGATTCCAAGACACCGTGGATCCTAACTCATTATTCAACGGCACTCGACCAATCACAGATTCAGAATTTTCAGGATCCACAGCAACTGAAAAAGTTAGACTAATGACGAACCAGCAAATCTACCAAACAAATTCCTCAAGAAGGCTTTGCTTCATTGTGACTTTCGCGAATGTCAGATTGACTTATAGTTTCTTATAAGTTTTAACTTTGATATCAGCTGTCACGATCAAAATATAAAATGAATAATTGTGATTGGGGACACAGTGATAGTGACAATAATGAGATCTGTACACCACCGGATTTATTGGAAACAGCGAAAACAGCAACTCTGAACTTATTGATGCCGGAAAAATCAAAAAATTCATGGATAGGCGAAACTTGAACCAGGCCCATTCATTCTCGGAAAATGTTCTCGCATATTTTACGAAACTGTCAGAAAAATACAAGTCATCATCGTTGTGGAAGATATATTCAATGTTGAGAAGCACACTCAATGTAAACAACGATAACAACATAGAGAGGTACCTACTCAAAATTGCGTGCATTGTTGAGACGAAAATCTGAAGGTTATCAGCCGAAAAAGTCGAAAACGTTCGCCCCAGAAGAAGTAAATAGATTTATCAATGAAGCTCCTGATAAAATCTATCTTGCAGCAAAGGTATGTTGAAATTGTCAAACAATAGTTACCTGAAAGTTCTACGATATCTCAGTTTTTGGTCTGAAAGATTTGTAAAAAGTACATTGATGTACGCGCAGCAAATGTTGGGATTCCCCATTTTTTCACGAATTACTAAAAAGGGAAATGTATTCTTCAGAAAATTGGAATTAATAAGTTTGCAGCAATGGGAAAACAAATAGCTACATTTTTGAAGCTACCAAATCCCGAGATGAACACCGGGCATTGCTTCCGACGATCATCTGCAACTTTGCTTGTTGATGCAAGTGGAGATATAACAGCATTTAAAAGACATGGTGGCTGGAAGAGCACATCGGTGGCAGAAGGATGTCTAGAAGATTCCATGTTGAATAAGAAAAAAATGGCAGATTCGATTCTTCAATCAATCGAACAATGTTCATCATCATCATCAAATAACAGTACTTTCACACAAAAAACATCAACAAGCAATATGAACACGACAAGTGAGACAAGTGAGAAACATAATTTACTGACCTAATAATTATTATTGTGCTGTTTCATCATTGAGTTCGTTGAATATTAAAGATTCCTGTTAATTGTATTATTATATTATTAAAATGAATGCATCAAGTATATTATTTTCATAAATAATATTTAGATTACATTACATTTCTGACTATCGTATAGTCGTAGATAAAGTATAGTCTTCTACTCGCGTATATTAGCTATTATTCTCTCGGATAATTCCAAAACTCGCCTACGGCTTGTTTCGGAATCATATCCTTGGGAATAATAGCTATCATTATACGCTCGTTGAAGAATATACTATTCTCTGATCGGTTGTAGGAAAATATGTCGCCTTATAGAATAACGCTTTGGAAGGATGAACGATACTCACCCGTGTAGAATTCCAATGTTGGCGTCCATTCGCTGATTTTCTTCATTTTGAGGGCTAAATACAGAGCAGCACACGCCAGTTTCGAGTCTCTTATCGAAATTGTGGCGTAATTCATCAGGGAGAACTCCAAAACGAACCGGGCCAGTGTCAAGACAGGCATTGTTATTTTTGCACACTAAAAAATAACGATAACAACAATAATGATAACAACAATAATCGTAACTAATAAATGACAGTTGAAAGAAATGAAGCTGGATAACATTTGAATTATTAGAGTCAAGGTGTCAGGAGGAACACAACTGAAAATATGAAGAAGAAAATGCTTTCTAGGGGTGCCAATTTTTATTCCAATACCTGCTACCATGTATAGGGGTACTCTCGAAATTTCTACAAAATTTTCAAATTGCCAAGTCTTTGGAATAAATGTTCCTATGTTGTTTCATTTACCATAGAAACATATATAGAGAAATGATGTTTTTCCTGGAAATTGTTCCACATGTTGACAAAATTTATCACTGAGATGTATAGTGAATATGAAATTCGAAACTTTTTCACAAGTCAAAAAAAACTTGACCCAGAGACACAGGGAAACAAAAATTATCTTTCAAACTCTACTTACCCCACTTTAGAAAATACAACACTAGAACACATTGGAAAATTATACCAAAAAAATCAACACAGGGACATATAGGGAAAAATCAACACAGGGACATATAGGGAAAAATATGTTTTCATGGGATTAATTAATATCGTCATTCGTCATATCTAGCGAAAAGATAGTGCGATTTTACTCCGTTTTTTTCTGTTCGCATTCATTTTGCACAAAGAAAAGAGATATTACGAAAAGTAGACAAAACATTTTGTACCGAAAAACAAAACCAACGAGATTTAAAAAAAAACAAATTGACAAGTCTATGGAACAAATGTTACCATGTTGTTTCTTTCAACATAAGACCATATAGGGAAATGAAGTTATCCCTGGAAATTATTTCACACGTTGAGAAAATTCATCATTGAGCTAATTTGGTGGATCTTCACACTACCTTCACACTCTTCAAAATAGAAGTAGTGGCAGTAGTAGTAGTAATTAGTACTTCACAGGTGATGCCGTCACTTGTGAATGGAGTGTTAGGAGACTCTCTTTCGCGGAATAGATTCATGCACTCTCCTCGGAAAAGCCGCATCGCCAAGGCGTTATGTGGAAGATGTAAGAAGATTTGGCGGAGGATCTCGAAAGGTTATGAAAACGGCAGAATGAATATCGGCAGGTACCCCGACAGAAGTAGTATTACTCAGAGACAAGTAATAATAATAGTTAATTAGTTGAAGGGGTTATATTAGAAATAGATGTAATTATTGTGATTCTGTATCGGGTATTGTGGACAATAGTGTTTGTGTTTGTATAAATCGTTTTGTTTTCTACTGAGTGTTTGTGAAACACCGAACCCAGACGTTTATCGTAGCAGGAGGCTGAAATATTGAAGTAAGAATATACAAAAGTACTAATATAATCTGTATAATATTTCTTTGCATGTGAATGGAATAAGCTAAGACCTACGCACAACTTGCTATCCTCATTCAGAGCAGACATTTTCATTTTGACGTTTGTTGACGTATCACAACATTATTTTCGAACGCAACGGATTAAACGATTGCACTGGGAAGTATTCGTGACGCATTCGAGTCTGCTATTGCAGACTGCAGAGGCGTGCAGTACTGGAATACCCTAATTTTAATTTCATTCTTAAGACATCAAGCCACTGCTTCACTAAAACATCTGACCTTGAAATGATTTGATTCATTTCTGGAAGTTGTGACGCACGTGCAAAAACTATCATACAGACTATATCATGAGTTTCATCAGAATCATATACATTTTTTCTCAGAGGGTTGTAAAAAAGCACCAGCAATTTGCAATTTTCGGTAATAATGTCACCTTGAGAATAAGACCGAGGAAAGATAATAACAATAATATTCACCCTCGCGTATCGCCTGAGGAACCTGTAGCTGATCGGGATGCCCAGATCGAAGCCGCACATCTTCAGCAGGTTCATCTCCATCCGGATGAGCTCTCTGCGCGAATACGCGCCGTCGCAGATGTACAGGAAGTCGTCGATCATCGGCGGGATGCGTTCGTCGAACTTGCTCGCTATGAACATGGCGGCGGCACCCACCAGTTGCAACGTCTCCTTCAAAGAGAAAAACAAGCATTCATAAAAATGCACAAAACACACAGAGACACACCCTGTCACAGACAGACACCTGTACGGGTTAAACTAAATAAAAGCTTCCTGTGACGTAGCCAGAAGTATATTTCAGTGGGGGGTCATACCTGATTTTAACCTTTCAGTAGTGCACGCGGAGTATCACTCCGCACGAATTTTGAACGTGAGTTTTCTCGAATACACTTATTGGAGAAGTTTCCTTCAGATGAGTTTTCATAAAATAAGTTGGGAACTCTCCAGTTTTATGTCCACGCTGTACAGAATGGCGACCGATTAAGTCCAAGTCATTTTCATTTTCAAATTAAAGCAATTGCTCATTTTCGGGGCGGCAAACTGTCACGTACATTCTGAATCTAGTCTGAAAATAGCTAATGGTGAAGAATATAGCTAGCGAATTATATTTCAACTATGTGAATGTGGATTTTCAAAAAGTACGTCATATGAATGGTGGAGGAGCCAAGTTCCTTTCATTTATTTTCTTCTGAAGTGAAATTTGATCTTACGAGTAAAAGAAAAAATACGTATACATACATTTTTTACAAACTTCACAGTGAGATGAAAACCTCAATATAGGAAACTTCCCCGAGTATTATCGATGTGCTGTATTCCTTTGTTTTTGAATTTTATAGCGTAGTGCGGAGTCGTACTCTGCAGCGACCTTAAGACAGTTCTGGCAAAATTATATCTCATTTGATGAATAATATTTTATGAATCACCGTTGGGTAAACACACATGATCGATCCTACTCTGATGTAGTACCCACCCAAATACTCCTGCGGTGTTAGACTCTGCAGCGACAACGATGTCCTTTATAAAAAGCGACTTCTGGAAGGTTAAGTGATTTGTAAGTAAAAATATTAAAAAAACAATAAGTGAGCAAATCTACGCTCATTTATCAAGAAAGAAATTGAAGCACACAATGAAATGAAAGAAAATTCTAATAAAATAACAGATAATTTTATATTTCGCACAATACAAGTAAAGTGCAATTTGTCGAATGGTATGGCGAAATATATTAATAATTTCATTAGTATCGATTTGAATATTATTATGAATACTCATTGGGGCTAAACTTGTTGTAGTCACATCTTCTTCTGGTATGCCTGTGCAACTTGCAATTTACGACAGCAATGCGCACGCACTAAGCACTGAGTGAAAGTGGGGGGAGTGGGATGTTCTTTTATTTTAGGACGTTGTGCAATAATAACGGTTGTCGCCGCTGTTGTATACATTCACTAATGTGCGTACGTACAACAATTTAGAAATTTTGGAATTCACTTTGGTTACTTTCTCATTAACTGAAGTTTCGGGATGGGGGCTACGCCACTGAAAGCTAGTAATTGTAAAAGTATCCGTCAACAAAAGACCTCAAATACCAATTTTGAATATCATCCGGAAATTCTGAATTTTGATGGACAAATCATAAATTCTGACCCAGAAAACCCCCATTAACAATTTTGAAAAGAATCCGATCATAATTACAAAACTCGTTCGCCATACTGGTAGTCTTTATTACCCCTAAGAAACATATCTGTTTATTAGATGGGATCCGCCATTTTGAATTTCCCAATTTTGACGAAAGAATCATGATCTCTGACCCCAAAAAGCCCCAGATACGAATTTTGAATATAATCGAATCATAATTAAAAACTCGTCCGCCATATTGGAGCCGACATCTTGAATTTTCCAATTTCCACAGAAGAACCATAATTGCCGAGTCCCCAACACTAACAGATACCAATATTGAATAGAATCGGATCATACTTGCAAAACTCATCCGCCATATTTTTTTTTTTTTCGAAAATTGAATGATGCATTGTCACTAGAATTATGTACACCTGCCCAATTTACCTCGCTTACACACAGACACCGGTAAAGTAAATAAAACCTTGTATAAATAAATTATTCACAAGTTGTTCTGAGTGAATTTATGATATGAGAAGATAAGTGACTGAATAATTCCATTTGCATCAGAATTCACAATGAGATGCTGTGGACTCTCCCAAAGCTCGAATATTTACGGTTCCACATGCGATCTTGATACACTTGATAGATTTACAGGAGTAAAATATCTGAGTATTTTAAGAAAGCTTCCCAAGAGGCGAGTGGACATCACTCAAACACCTTTCAATTTCATATTCTTCAAGAATTTTTCGGTCGATTTTTAGGTTCAAAAATCATCAATAAAGCCACGGTAATTTTCGAACAGCTAGAAATTTACCGCCAGTGAACACTGACGCCAAGATGTCGTAAGTAGGGACAGACCATACCACAGTTGCCATTTGTTGAAATACAATTGGGAATCAGAAATATTAGTTATTCAATGATTCATAAATTCTCAATTGAGTATTGGAAATATTCCTAATTAACAATAAGAATTCAATGGGGAAGACCACTGATTTTTTAAAACGACATTATCGTGAACTCTATACTGAAAAACTACCAGTGAATTAATTTTGAATTTTTTCATTCATGCTAAGACGATGAAAAAAATAAATTAGTATATGTCCATTTCAAAACACACAATTCCTGCGCCATTTGAAATTTCATCAATTCATTGGTGTGACTGGTGCGACGTCTTAGTCCCAACACGCCTATTGTCCTTGAACTGACCAATTACACTGCAGAATGACGAGGTATCAGAGAGAGATAGCTACAGTTCGGGACTAATACGTCACGACTCCACCATCATATTTGGCTGTTTGAAATATCGAATGAAATATGCTGATTTCAAAACGATATAGATTCGATTCCCTTCAACTTCAACTCATAATATTGATTGTACATAAAATGTAAATCATGATTCGTCGATTGAAAGAGGTTTGCACGGATTTCTTCCCTCAGTGGTCTTCCCCATTGTCTCAAAATGTCCCCTTATGATTTGTGGCTTATTGCTTATAATAAATAATTACATTAATTCACACAAGAGGACATTTGAATCGGTGATAGTGACAACCCCGTGCACGACTTGTGGGCGTCTTCTTGTCAGTTCTCAGCATTCAGCACAATGCTGCCAAGTCTCCCTCATTCACATGATATTTTGTTATGAAGAATAAGAAATATTTGGACCTACTAATTGCTCTAAAAAGTCAAGAATGAACTATAATGTCATGAGATCCTCCAATTATGTTTTAGTCAACGACAGGTCTCAAACATCTTCTTGATAACTGGATTATAATTGGTGACACGACAACCTTGCTTCATGAGTGGAAATGGAAGATTATCTGACCAACAACGAAACAGCAAAAAAACTGACGTTTGAAATGAGCTCTGAAATTCAACGATTTTGAAAAATGCATAGACTTATTATTTAGATGAAAAAAGCGTGAGGACTGTTGCAAAAATTAATTTAGCTTCCTTACAACACAATGGAGTAATTGAATGGCAATAATTCATTATCAGTCTACTCCCCCATTCTATGCAAGAAAAAAGAAAATAACAACTTCACACTTTCAAGGTATAACTCACCTTTCCAACCGTCATCTTGCTGAGGTACATGTCGACCAGTTTGACACCGAGATAGAGCGTTTCGTGGTTGAGCTCGAAGCTCTCCTGTATTTCCACCATCCAATCGATGAGTAGGGAGCGCATCCACCGAGTCAGGCAGATCTGGCGGTCCATATAGTCGGGAATTTTGAACTGGGACTGAAAGGAGAGTTCCACTTTTCTGAGCTAAGTTGATTATACACTTCTCCAAGAAGTTGACGCTCCATTAAGAAGTAGCCAAAAGTTTAGGAAACATTCTCGTCAAAACTACTTGCCCGATTTGGACGTTTTTTGTTTTGAATGACACGTTATTTCCTTCTGAACATTATTGTGCAAACTGTATTCGCATTAGAACCTAATTTTAATGAATAGCAATTATAGCGCTTTTTTTTCATGAAATTTTATGTTAAAATATTCACATAAGTTAAAGAATCGACTGAGACGGCAACGCTGTTCATCTCACTGAATGGTAAATTATCGATTTTTATCGACCACCAATAGACGGCGAGTTATAGTACTTGTGACGTCATTACCGCTGACAATTTTCCGTCGTGTTCTAACGGTGGTATTTTCGTGGATTTCTCCAAAGCATTTGACTGCATTAGGTTCGTATCCTACCGACTGCGCCATTGTAATAACACTCTAATATGTTCAAGTTTCAAGAATTGATATATTACTATTATTATTTATATTCATGACAACATTGACAACAACATAAGATAGTCGTTTCATACAATGGGTTCTATACACTATATAAATACAGTATACGCAGTAACTCCTACAACTGGTTCAAATCATACCTCAAAAAGAGAAAACAAATAGTCTATCATCTGAGCAGGGTGAAGTTGCGTCAAGTGTCTTGGAGATATCCATGGTTGTCCCGCAGGGTAGTATCCTAGGCCCGATACTTTTTGTAATATTCGTGAATGACATAAAAAACGTAGGAACAGATTGTTCAGCCAGAACTTCTTACTAAGGGGTCGCAATTTCATTGACAACATTGAAAAAGGAACGTTAATAATGAGAACAAAATATTATTTTAGTGAAAATAAGTTAATTAACAACAATGATACAACGGATTGTTTGTTAGTGAGAATCAACAATATTTTCGGATAGGGACCCGACTTGAATGAAGTTTTTATATGCCAGAGAATATTCAAAAATAATAACATGTTAATGGTATCAGCTTTGTTTATTTATGAAGCTATGAAATTCCGGACCACGATTGAATATCACTTCAACAGTCACAAAACGAATCATGAACATAGCATGACACTAAAAAACAACTATTACCCAATTAACAAAAAATGCATTTTCGAAACAAGTCCACTGGCAATAAAATTCTATAACAATCTTCCACTTGAGATAAAATCTATGCAAAATACCGAAATATTCCTTGGCTCGGTACGGAATTACTTACTGATAATAGTAATAATAATAAACGTCTTTATTGCTTCCATAATGTAAATCCAAAAAAATACACATAATATGAGGTTGACATGGAAGCAAAAGGCGAAGTTCAGTTTGTAAAATGATTTAAAATCAGCTTACAAACTGTTCTTTCACTTGACCTTCTCTTCTTCTTGATGGTAGATCCCTACTCAGTAAGTGATTTTTTCAATATGTGATTATATATTTTTCAATTTGCATATGTGACTCACTTCTCAGATGCGTAAAACAACTCTGTAAAATTGAAATAAGTTATCTATCTATCTACTTTTTTGGGAATTTATTTTGGGCATTTTACGAGGAATAAAAAATTCTCTGTATTTTTCCATCCAACTTATTCTAGAAGTTGATGTTCTTGCCTATTCCAAATCTAGAAAAGACCTAATTTTCACACATAAATTAGCAAGAACACTCTTCTGAACTTCTTTCATACTGAGTTAGAAAAATTAATATAACTATTATCCTTAAGATGAATATTTTGGCTTACTTCTCTATCTTTGAGATAGTTGAAAATGTCCATGGCATAATGTGACACCTGGTAGACATCATCCCAGTTTTCCTTGTCAAAATCGTCGACATTTTCTGGCACACTGTGATTCCCCAAATTGAGTTTCATCTGGATCTGCTTCGCCACCAAGCTCAGATTTGAGGAACACTCTGTATCTTTGACACATGGTGATGAGGATTCTGTAGAGCTCCGAGAGGATCTCAGATTGTGTTGTTTTTTGGCACTGAAGTAAACAGTAGATTCGTTACTAAAAAGTATATCAGTGAAAAACGATTTGAAGAATCAACGTTTTAAGAAAAATAGTGGATGGATTCATAAAAAACGGAATTTGATAAGAAACTTACATATCCTCTAAGGCAGTAGAATACAAAGTCTCTTCAGTCTTTTCAAACTCATTGCTAAGTCTTTTGTTTACTTTATTTGCATTATTATTTTCTTTGAGAACTTCTTTTGGTTTCAGGGCCGTCTGATTTGGTATTATACTTTTGATAGTTGCTCTGGTCAGAATCTGAAATACATAGTTTTTTCATTATGAGCAAAGGAGCCTATGGTTAGTTGATACCGGGTGACCAGTTATATTCTGACCTATTTCAACTGCTCATATCTCCGAAACTATTCAAATTATCGGTGTGCGGTTTGGACACAGATTAACAAACCTCATTTGGATTTCTCTATTTTGATATTCTTCAAGTTTTTTGACTGGTTCACCTTTTCACCTGAACTTCCGGTTCTACCGGAAACAAACAAGCCATTATTCAGGTATAGGGCAACTTTGATAACATTGCATAATCTCATTAAACCATTCCACAAGCAGAAGTTGTTTCAAAGCGTTATAACTCTAATAGTTTTCTAGGAGAACATAACTTTTAATACATTGTTAGATAGAGAAAAGACCAGTCTTTCTGCATTTGAAAAAATAAACAGGGTGATTCAATGAAATGAAAGTTGCCCTATACCTGAATTATTGCTTGTTTGTTTCCGGTAGAACCGGAAGTTCAAGTGGGAAGATGAACACGTCAAAAAAAACATCAAAATAGACTAGTCCAAACCGCACAACGATAACTTGAATGGTTTCAGAGATATGAGCATTTGAAATGGGTCAGAATATAACTGGTCACCCGGTATTTAAATTTTAGTGAACTATTTTTTGATGGATGATTGGCGGGAAGCTGATAGCATAGATGTGCTTGGATAAAAAATAAAATTGTGAACGTGTCATTTTCCAGGAAGAATCTGGAGGAAGGAATAAAATCAACTTGGTTGAAGAAACAAGTTCTTCAAAGTACCTTGATTTCCATGATACAGGATTCAACATTTTCCTAAATCTGGTTTTTATCAATTTCCCTTTCCATCAACAAATTACTTCTGATTCAAATTTAAATTTGTTTAATTACTCCAGTAGGGTCATGGGGTCAAGAAGCTGATACAAAGATGAAAAAATATGTCATGCCACAGATTTTTTTAAGATTGAGCAATTCAGAATACAAGTTTCTAGATGTTTGTGACAATGTGACTATGTTATACAGGATATTTCAAAAAAATTGCCAGCAGAAAATTTATAATTGAATTTTTTCATCAAAATAACACCCTATAGATAAGAAGAAAATGGTTACGTATATTTGGTACTGAGAAATATATAGTCGATGACAAAATTCAAGTCAACTCGAAATTAAAATATATATTTTTTTTGGTAATAATTATGATTTTCATAAGTTTTTTCAAATTTGTCTGAAAAAAAAGTTGAAGGATCTTTCAGCCATTCTAAAAAAAATACATTTTTTTTTCACCAAAGAAACACCACCTTATTTCCTGGTGCAGGCGGTGGTGCCAGATTTTCGTTTTGTCTCGGTTTGAGAACAGTTTTGACCGATGGCAACTGTTTGATTTGCGCTATCGCTTTTTTGGTAACCAGGGATTTTTTTCTATTGTCTTCAGCCCCCTTGCACTTTCCCAAATCTGCAACGTTGACATTACGTTCTCCAAATGCGATTCTTTTGGTGGTTTTGTTTTCTTTGGAGGGCGAGCAATCTGCCTTCCTTTTGAACCGACTGGCATCTTTAGTTTCTTTGTTTTGTGAGCAATTTAGCATGTTTTTGCTTCTTGTTGATACTGTATGTTTTTTCACGATCAGTCCTGTGATGACATTGTTAGTCGTTTTTAGGGGAGCCATTTTTCAGATTCTCTGAAACAAATAGTTTGTTTCCTTAATGCATGAATAAATATCGATGGTATTTTTGGGATATTAGTACAATCTGGCAAAAGGACGATTGTTTTCGGTTGATGATAAAGTTTTTATAGTAAAAAAAAAACAAATTCACATTGGGGCGAATGTGCTCATTATTTTTCGGCAAAAGTGCGAATGTAGCGTATGTTAAATACAAAAGAACGAATGTGCATACTTAAACGTCATATTAGGAAACCTAACCTGTCTTGAGTCTAGATTAATTCAGATTGTCAGCAGTACTGTTCTGCATTGAATGTATTGTCACCGAAATTATGAACACCTGTCAAATTTCAAGTTAATCGGAGTTATGGAATTTTTGTTGAAATTGAAAAAAATGGCTGCTCCAAGATGGCGGACAAAATTTGGTCCGATTCCATTCAAAATTGGTAAGTGGGGGTTTTTGAGGTCGGAGATCATGATTGTTTTGTTAAAATTTATAAATTCAAGATGGCGGCTTCCAAATAATTTTTTGTTCTTGTATAAATGACGATAACTCCGTTGTTATCAACACAAAACTATTACTGCGACATATCATCTGGAAGAGAAAAAAAAGTGATTTGTAACTAAGTCATAGTGAGCTATGACCTACATTTGAAAAACTAAAGTTGGTGCTGATATCTCAAATTCTAGAAGAGTTGGTATAAATTTCATATTTTTTTCGAAATCACTTTGAAAAACTGCCATGAGAATGTGAAATTCCTATTTGAATATTTTCATAGGAGGAGACATGAAAATGATCAAAAACTTGTTTTTTGCGTATAAAACAAAAACGAATAGATTTTATCAAAATGTTTTTTCACATTATAGTTGGCCCTGACAAACTCCACATTTGGTGTCATTTAACCGACCTCGTATCTCTCACCGTTAAAAAGATACCCATGGTGAGCATGGTAAGTGGGACACACTGTATACAGTATGATGCAAATGTATGGAATAAATTCATTATTTCAGAAAAAATTCCAAAAACACGTGAGTTTTAATTTCTGAAGCCTCATCTCATGATATTCATATGAGAGATGTTACGTCACCGGTGTTGGAGTAATGGACGATTTTTTCAAATACAAATAGGGGTCATGTGACACCTTGATTGAAAGGTCTACCGATCGTCTATTCAACAGTCAAAATGTTGCATAAGAAGATTGAAATTAAAATGGATTATCATGTGATTAATTGAATCTTGCAAAGGTCTGCTACTGAGAATTGAACATCGAAGGGTCGTCTAGTTAAAAAAATACGTCGAAAAAAAAGTTCTAAACTCTAGTTTTTGGTTTTTTTTCGAAAGTCGTCTTGTTTTGAAATGAATTTATTCCATACATTTGCATCATACTGTATATTCACCAACCAAAATGACACACTAAATTGTGAACTTTTCTCCAGCACCTTGCTGACGTGATCTGGAACAGTTTTTTTCCGTAATTCTCGAAAGCGGCGTATTCGCCCTTTTGCAAAAATACCATCGATATATTACAATTCTCAATTATTCTGTCAGGAATTTGCACAGGATATACTTCTTCACGAATTGTTCGAAATATGTAATGATAACATCTCTTGAAGGATGAAATATTTGAAAGTAAAGAGAGAACCAAAATTTTGAAAAGAGAAATTCTATGAAGTTACAAAACTTCATCACTCATGGAAAAATAAAATATTAAATACAATAACGATCGACGTCTTCTAACTCATCAAACATCAAACATCAACATAATAATCCAACTTTCAAAGGGGAAAATAGGTAATATCTCATTATTTTTATTATAATAGAGTATGTATTACCCTCGTATTATCTAAAAATGAAACATGAAATACAAATACCTATATTGGAAAGAAATTATTGTAAATAAGATATTTTTGGTTATAATTTATGTCATATATGTCATTATATTTTCAAACTTCCAGAAATATATGGAATTAATCACACTTTCTGATATAAAGTTATCAAGAAGTGATTTTCCTTTGGAAATTACACTAACTCAATAGGAAGTTTATTTTTCCAAAGAGATATATTCATCACCTTTTGAGCTGTAGAAAAAAATAGTAGGTACATCTAAAACTCAAGAAATCAAAAATACCCCAACCTGTGTATTTTCTTCACTAATTACGTCCCAAAACACAAAACGTTGCTACCAATTCAAAATGACCAGCTCAAGATTGAAGATTATATGATTTGAATTCTTATGAGCTCCTTTGTTTTTTGGATCTGATTATAGAAAAATCTTATTTCATGAAATTTGTTATATACTATTATATAATTATGATTTATATGTGAGTATAACAATGATAAAATGAGAAGAAAATTAAAAATAGAGTTATACATAAATGAATCATTCTAATAGTAAAACAAGGTATATTTACGAATAAATCAACATGAACATATGTATCTAAAGTAAATATTTCAATGGTTTAATCCCCTTTTATAAAGAAAAGTCATGAGAATTGCAAAAATATACTGAATTGTTCCATATTTCTCACCAAGTATTTCACTAACTCTGTGATGAAGGCATATAGGTAGGTAAAATATTGTCTATATGAATAAAAGGATTCAAAAAAGGTTTATCCTTGTAGGGGCTGTATAAATATCAATGATCATGTTTCCTTCCAGGAGTTCTAGGCTACCTACTGGACTCATGATGTGAAACACAATTGTAGGTAATAGGAAATTGCTGAAAAATCGATTTTGAAACTTCCAAAAAGGCACCTTAGTAGTTCTCACTTCTCAGCACATGTGAACTTTGTTTACTGGGAAAAATTTCAAAATTTTGTAACATAATCAACTCATGAACTTCCCATGAAACCTTGGAAATTGATAGGAAAGTTCTTCAATGCAAAAACAAGTAGGTAAAGATAATAACATAAAAAACTTTTTAGGTAGGTACCTTTATTCAAGTATCAGGATTTTTTCAAGAAAGAGTAGGTAGTACGGAAATTTGTGAGTACAACTTGATATTAGTAGTAGCAAAAGCATGTTATTACATGGGACTTTCCATGTGTAAACACAATGCTTCCAATAATATGCTTTCAACTACAAAAGAGCACCCATTGAAGAACAAACATATTACATGTGACTTTTTTTGAATGTATAATCGCTCGGTCTTCCTATAATATTATGCTTCCAACAGTTCCAACTACAGAAAAGTAGATAAATACCTACTCAAAACTCAACAGCCATTGATATTGATGGGTGTGCTTCTTACCGCCTTTTTGCTGTTCATCCGCAAAATATTATTTAGTTAAGCTTGAAAGAAATGATTATATGGATGAATTGTTCAGCAATATTTGTTTAATTTGAATGCCTATTCGAAAGATCTTATGCCGATAAAACAAACCAGATAAAAAAAAACATGTAGAAAAACTATAAAATGGATGCCCAAATTCCACAAAAAGATCGTTATTATAAATTAAAATTTCTATGGATTCAGCAAAAAGAGGCACATCAGGATGTAATAATGCTAAATAGACTCACCCTTAATAAATTCGTCTAATGATAGTAGGTCTCACTGTAAAATTCATGTAAAAATTCACGTAAAAGTTCGTTAACGTCAGGCTTCCCAGCTCTTCGTTCATCAGTTTCAGAATTTTCTGTTTTGAAATGTTTACTCGTCAATTTATAAATCCTTGTGATCTGATTGGTTCAAAAATTGATTTGTGAGACATCTATCGAGAGGGAAAAACTGTTTGGAAAGCATGTGAACATCTGTCGCATACACCGTTGCCAGTTTTGAAATTTTGGAAGTAGATGAGGTCAGGTGAAACCACTGAACTATTAAACAAGAGAAAATCATTTCTGAACTCATGACTGTTCCTGATACAAAATCTTGAAGATTTTTTATGTATCAATACTCAGTTCTCAACTAAGTGAGCTTGAACTCATTTCATCACATTAAATTGATCAATTTTGACGTCACCTTCTCGTAATATTTAAGGTTATGTTGTTTGGATGAACGATTTCGACTGATTCTACTGGAGTTTCGAGGTTCATTCTAGACCTGTTCGTTTGTGCTTGCTCTACCTGCTAAACTTGATTTTTTTCTATGACTTTCTCGGTTAACATCATGACATGAACAGAGACAATTGTCTGTCATATGGGAAAAATCATCTTTAGCATGGTGGAAATCAGCAATACCAGCGAACAGGCCTATTGAAATATTTTCGATAATTGGGCAGGCAAAGTGACGTCATACACGTTGAAACGCAGAATCTATCAATACAGGGATTGAAGTGGATTGAAGAGTCTTTTTGATAATTTATTACCGTTATCAGATCTCGGTTGTTTGTGAAACGGGTGTGAGCTTGAGAGTGTGGCAACGTTGTTGTCATGTTTCCAAAAATAAATGTCAAAGTCAAAAAGTATCATAACATAAAACATAACCATAGTTTTTATCAACTGGATACTGCTTCAAAGCTGAAAAGATTGGTTTCATTGTAAAATTTCAAATAATTTGTGTTTTATTCTGTGATTCAAATAAAAAGTTGAACAACTCCCACTGGGATGTGAAAAATTCAGAACAATGTTCGAACGTACCTTTCTGGTAAAGTACATTTCAGAGAAAAACAACTTCCTTTATTTACCTTTGAGTTTCAAGTTCCTGAAAACGGGTGTATGTATTATTTTATAGATATTTAAAAAAAGTATTATAGCTCCATTCTTCCTATGGATTATTGCAGACTTGTCTCCGACTCAACTACAAGGATGAAAAAGAGTTATATTTATCTGTTCATTCAACAACAGGGTATTTAGATGAGAAAAGCATTGGAATAAACTCTCTATTGGGTAAAGCATTGGGACTAAACGAGAATGAACCAGTAACATTGTATGAAATATCACAGCCACCTTGTATCACTAGTATAAAAATTTCACCTTTAAACAAAGTTGATTATGATGTAATTGTGAGTTCATATGCCTATTATTCCTATTGTTATTTCATATCCAGCCCCAATGAACAAAATGAAAATGAATTTGACTGTTCAGAGTTTTTTAGGAAATGCTATCTGGAAATATTCAGGAAACCTTATTGAATCAAATTAGGGTTGTAAATTCTGGACAAAAATTTGTGATTTGGATTGGACAGAATATTAATGTAACTGTTAATGTTGGTGAGAATCTCTTCAAATCAAAATGTCCCCAACAGTATCCCAAAAATATGTTCAATGTATTTTTTTTTCAGATAGTATACAGCCAGTTTCACCTGGTGCTATAGATTTCTTGACAGAAGTTCATATAGATCAGTTCATTGATAACATACCAAAAACACCATTAGATACAACAATCAATAGCAATAATGATAATCAAAAGAAACCACCTTTCAGTCTGAAAGTGTTAGAATCTTTCAACAAATATTTTAAAGAAGATTGTGATTATGATCATAATTCACAGAAATACTTTGAATGTAAAACATACCTAGTCTGTAGATTAGTGGCTTTGAAAGACCTACCACTCCCTACAGAAACAATTAATCATCTAAAACCATTCAACATTTTTGTACCAGAAAAAACCATAAGTGAATACCAATTAAATGTTAGTACAACTGAAAAGAAATCAGTATATTCTTTAACATTGTTAACTAATGATGTATTCTCAAACAAAACAATTTTTGTGCAACTAATACCACTGGAAACTATCCTCAAAAATCACAAATTCAATTTGAGTCAAACATTGTTGGTGGACGACCAGGTGTTTCATATTTTTGGGACTGGGTTAGGATGTAGAGTTATTGTGAAACAAATTGAAAATCATCCAATTGTGACAGAAATCTTTATACACACCAAGAAGAATTATTTGACTGATATCATAGAAGAATTTAAGAAATACTTAGCACAAGGCAGTGATGAAATTTTCATCTTAAATGGAGATGTTCCTGTAAGAATTGGTAATAATATTGTATGTAGCCTTAAATTTTCACCAGTTGAGGCAAAATATTGCCTGGTAGATGATCATTTAGTGAGAAACTGCAAGTATGTTGTGGAAAATGAAAATGTGGTCATTGAACAAAAAACCAATGTAAAGGAGGATCACTGTGAAATATTTGAAAACATCTCAAATTACCAGAGAATAATTGATGAAATTTTGCAGACATTCACAATAAATGATAATGGAAGTCTTGAAAATGTTTTAATAATTGGTGGGTAATTTTTGAATATTCATATTCAAGAACATATTTGATAAATTGCTTCTTATTTCCCAGGAAAACCTGGTACAGGAAAGACATCACTGTTGAAAACTTTGTGTGCCAAATTGCAAAAGTACCCCTATTATTTTTATGTGAAAATAATTAAATGTAAGAGCATAAAAGGTAAAACAATGGATTCCTTGCAGAAATTATTTTCTACTGATTTTTCTGAACTCATACTTCGACAGCCTTCTATATTAGTTCTGGATGATCTTCATGTCCTTTGTGAAAGAATACAGGGTGATGATACTACACCTAATGTTATATATTTCAACAGGTAAAAAAACATCTATTATATTTGCATAACTGAAATGACTTCATGTGGATTGAATCACAGTTCATGAACTATTATAGTGAGCAGAAACAACTGATTTATTATTTTCAGGGTTAGTGATATGTTAAGGAATTTCCTGAAATTCATTTTGCATTTCCATCAAATAGCAGTTTGTGCTACTGCAGAATCCACTGAAAAACTGAATACACATTTATACTCAACAAAAGGCAACCATTTATTCAAGAATGTCCATTCAATTGGTAATTTTGCTAAGGTGGTATTTTATTCAAATATCTTATTTAGGTATTTTTACTACTCTATTTACAGATAGACAGGGTATCAGTTTTGAAGAGTTTTTTCAAGAATGATAAATGTGATGGAGTGAACTATGAGGACTTGTCTATCAAAACAGAAGGTTTTGTTGTTCAAGATCTTGTGGATTTTTACAATAAAACCATTTATGAGTCCTTGAAAGATGGTAAGTAGTTAATACCTATTTCATGGTTCATGGTTCTAAAGAAGAAAAAATTCCAATACCTACCTCCTCTCCCTATCCTCCCTAGGAACGCACGATGTTCTTTGAACATTATAGGGATTTCTTTCGTGCGCTCCAAGCGATAAAAAAAAATTCCCGTTGTAACATTTTTCACTGTTCTAATTTACCGCGTCAAAACCACATATAATATCAAAGTTCAAACTGACCTTTTGAGATTTGTTGAATTCGAGCTGTTTCCTGTTCAAAATTCTAAAGTACAGAGGTCTTATTGTGATGAATACTGGAGTAGAGTATGAGTACGATTATTATTGAATGTAAAATTGGAATTCCAGCAACTAAAGTCCACGGTTTTCTTGATTTCTATTTCACTTTCCAGCAAGCGGCGTTGATGATTCAGTCATCATAAATAAGGATCACTGTGAAAAAGCTTTGAAGAATACCTGCGTCATTTCCTTGGAAAATGTTAGCCTTCATTCACCTGGAGAAAACGACTTTTCAAACATCGGGGGCCTACATGATATAAAAAAAGTTTTGATGGAAAGTTTGGTGTGGCCTGTACAAGTATGATTAATCAACTTACTCATTAGTTTACTTGTTCATAACCTGTATTGATTTTTTTTTAAGTATCCTGGTATATTTTCGAATGCACCTTTACGTCTACAGTCAGGACTCCTTTTGTATGGTCCCCCGGGTACAGGAAAAACGCTATTGGCTGCTGCAGCTGCCAAACAGTTTGGTCTCAGGTTGATATCTGTCAAGGGGCCGGAGTTGTTGTCCAAGTACATTGGGGCCAGTGAGCAGGCAGTTCGAGACATATTCCAAAAGTAAAGGATTTCATTACTTATTTTCCAATAGTATATATCTCAATTATGTCAGTCAAATGCAAAAAAAGTAAGCCAAACATTCATCAAACCAAAATATGTACATGCTATGTGGATCCCTAACCCAGAATAGGTGAGTGGACTAACTTTTTTTATCCCTCAAATAGAATCTTCACTCAAATACCTTTCAATTCTATATTTTGTAGAATTTTTTGGCGATTTTTAGGCGCTTAAATCATCAATAATGCCACCGTAATTTTCAAATAGATAGAAATTTACCGGGAGTAAAATCTGACGTCACGATTTCGTAAGTAGGGGAAGACCATAGCCCAGTTGCCATGTGTTGAAATACGATTGGGAACTCCAGAAATATTAGTCATTCAAACATTCATAAATTCGCAATTATGTATTGGTAGTATTCCTATTTAGCAATACAAAATGCAATTGTCTCAAAATGTCCCCGTATGATTTGTGGCTTATTGCTTACAATAAATAATTACATTAATTCACACTAGAGGACATTTGAAGCAGGGAACGTGACAACAAGGCGCGCACGACTTGTGGGCGTGATCTTGTCCTTTCTCAGCATTCAGCACAATGTTGCCAAGTCTCCAATATTTACATGATAATTTGTTATGGAGTATAAGAAATATTTGGACATGCTGGTGGATTGAATGTGAATTTGAGATATTTGAATTGTTTCTCTTTTGTGTTTACAAATTGGTAATTATTAATTGATTAGGTTAATTTGTTTTTATTTCTTGTTATTTTCCAGGGCAGAAAGTGTTAGACCATGCATTCTATTCTTTGATGAGTTTGATAGCTTGGCTCCTAGGTGAGTAGCAGATTTCTAATGAGGTTTCAACATGCTTCAAAATAGTAAATCATTATACGAGTTTTATAAGACACTATTCTATCGCAGGCAGGCGATGTTACAGGCTTAAAAATCGATTTTTTTTAACCTGCATTTTTATACTCAGCGAACCCTTTCCTTTTATAGGAAAGCACAAAAAAACTTCAATAGTGCGCCGTAGTGGATTTAGAGTGATGTCACATTATTTCTAAATATTTTGATTGTCTTTATTACCCCAAGAAACATAGTTGTTTATAATAGGGATACATAAACAATATACATAATGTTATACATACAAATGCAATTATGAAATTATAATAAGATATAACAAGTTAAAAAAAAAATGCAAATAATCATGCAATATCAACCTAGTCTTTTATAAGTAGGTATTCAAATAAGAAATGGAATTATCAAAGTCTCTGAAGCAGATATTTTTTTAAGTTAATTTTGAATCTAGTTGCTTCCTGTATATTCCTCAAATGACTTGGTAATGAGTTGTATAGAACGATTCCTGTGTGAAAAATTGATTGTTTGCCGATATTTGACTTGAACGTATTTGCTATTAGTAAATTTGATTGTCTTGTTCCATGATTATGTAATGAATTGATTTCATTGAAATTTAAATTCGAAATTTTCAATTTATATAGGACAAATTGAATAAAACAACAAATTTTAAGTTTATATAGCGATGTCAGATCTAATAAATCTCTAGGTTTGTATAAATTCATGGTTGGTTCGAGAAAATTTAAATTGAAAATACACTTCAATGTTTTATTTTGTAATTTCATTAGTGGACTCAAACGTGAACTATTGGTACTTCCCCATATAGATATCAGGTATTGAAATTTTGAGTAAATAAGAGAGAAATAAATACTCTTCAAGTATCTGGTAGAAATGAAATTTCGTATTTTGAATAAAATGCCTGTAATAGGATTAAGTTTGTTCCTCAAATGATCTATATGTTTATTCCACAATAGTCTTTCATCAATATAAAGACCTAAAAATTTTGTAACATCTGTATATTTGATGAGTTTATTGTTGAAGGATAGTGTTCTATTTGAAATGTTCAATGTTCTTTTTGCTATGTACATATATGAGGATTTGTTATAATTGAGAGATAGTTTATGAACTTTTAACCAAGAGGATATTTTCTCTAAATCACTTTTCATGTCCATGATAATATTATTTGAATCTTTAGAGAAATAAATCAATGTCGTGTCATATTCTCGGCAAGCCATTTCATTTGATGCCCATATTGCAAAGTGCATGAATAATAACTATTCCGCCATCTTGGATGGTCTGCCATATTGGATTTAGAATGACGTCACATTATTTTTCGAGTTGTTCCCAACGAGCCCTTTCATTTGATACCCATATTGTAGAAGTAGATTAAAAATAACTATTCCGCCATCTTAGATAGTCCGCCATATTTGATTTAGAATGACGTCACACACCTTATCGTGCATTGTCATCCAAACTTAACGTGTATACAAAATTTCAGCTCAATCGGTTGAAGATATCTACTTCAAAATTGAGTTCAAAGATTCCACCCGAACAAACATACTCAATACATACATTGCAAGCAAGGTGGATAGAATATGGTGTAATCACAAACAGTGTTTTGTTTCTCCTAAAACGCTTGACCGCAGATTCCGCAATAATGGCATATTAGTTCTCAGTTGTCCGCAAGATGGCGACATTTTTTGCAGATTTCTTTCATGACAGAAAACATAAAACGGCGCTCACACACCGCGTGACTTTGCTGGCTTCATTCATAACATAACCTCAAATCAAATGCGATTAAATTTGAAAGTACGAAACTGTAATTTTAGGGAATTTTGATTATCATAAGTTCTACCAACCTTGAATTTTGCTTGATATTTCGCCATCTAACAGGTAAAATTCGACCTATATTCCGCGATATTGAAAAGAATCCTTCTGTCAAGTAGGCCGTAGGTCAAGAACTTTGACCGAAAAACAGTAGATGGGATCTGATAAGAGTTTCTACACCATCTTCTGTTCATCCTAATTGCAAGTTAAATGAAAGCTTTTAATGAAATTATGAAAATTATTGATTTTGAAGTTCATTATATTTCCATATCTAAGGAAAAATTCAGTATGAATAAAAAAATCATTATGAATAAAAAAAAAGATTTACCTAATCAAAAAATCATGTTGTTTTGCAACCCTGCTTCTAGCTATAGTTCCTAAATGTACTTGACACTGCTGTTTTGACGTTTTTTGTATAGGTCGCGTGCACGATGACCGACCCTGGAGGCAAAATATTGAAACACAACCTCACTCTTCTGTGAATTATTGAAACACAACCTCACTTTTTTATTTGTTTACAGAGGAATCAAAGGATTGAAATGGTTTTTCACAATATTTTGGCATACGAATCGTGTTTTTTGCGCTATTCATTAATTCAAGCATGCCTTCTCATTGTGCTGTTGTACAAATCACAAACAATGCAGCCGAGAGACCAAGGAATATGATTTTTCAGGTAAATAGTAATCTCACATAGTTATCATTATGAAATATGTTGTCATTCCTTATTAAAATCCCTTCTGCCTTCTGCCACTTCTGCAATACAAGCTAATACTGCTAATAGATTGAAAATGTCTACAACACACAGGATCGTCAGCATGTCAGACCAGTCCTCCCGATTGATTGCATGAATCTACCATGAATCCAATCTTCTTGCATTATCTTAGAAATTTCAGGTGTATTTCTATCAGCTCCTATTGCAGAAGGCATTCCGATGAGAAATCAGAGAAATTACCAAATTTCAAAAATGAAAACTATATGTGACTATAGTAGGTACATACTTTTGAATCATAATGTACCAACCGGATTCCTTCGTCTTCCGCTGCAGTTTTTGTGCATTTTACAACAGCACAATGTGATGGCATGAGCGAATTAATGAATAGCCGAAAAAAAAAGTTCGTATGCCAAAATAATTGTGAAAAACTATTTCAATCACGTAAACAAATAAGAAAAGTGAGGTTGTGTTTCAATGTTGTGCCTCCAGGGTCGGTCATGTGACAGTTCTTGCACGCAACCCATAGTGTACATTAGAAATTCTACTTCGAGCTATCCAGAACCCCTGCCATTTTGTTCAAGGCGCGGTCATGACAATACTGGAGTGACAGACAGAGTGGTCAACCAATTACTGACACAACTAGATGGCGTTGAATCTTTGACCGGCGTTTGTGTACTCGCCGCTACTTCCAGACCCGATCTCTTGGACCCAGCGCTACTCAGACCTGGGCGACTTGATCAACAACTTCATTGTCCTCTGCCAGATGAGGTTTGTGCGAAAAAAAAGTCAGATTGGAATGCTTCAAGTCCTGGAGATACAGCGAGTCAAAATTATTTCTCATTTTGTCTTGAATGAACTGGTTGGAATAGATAATCAAATGAATCAATAGAAAAAAAGAGGGTTCGCACTTGGATACATATTCGTTACTATGATTATCTTACCCTTCTGAATTGACTCGTCCGTTACTTGATGAATGAACTGTTTGTTCATTGTACCAGTATTTCACATGATGAAGCTACTGTATTAGCGAAACATATGATTTAGGTACTATTTTTTTTTTCGAGGCCGGGATTGGCGCAGTGGAAGACCGCAAGGTCGTGAGTTCGATTCCCAGCACGAGCAAGGAACTTTTTTCAATATTTTATTTAAAGTTTATATAAAGTTTCGGAGTATCGGCTGGGGATAGTCCAGCACGATTCGCTGTTGCGTTCCAATTAACAGTGCTGCTCCTAAAGTGGCGCATGGAGTTAGTAACAAAGCCTACACAGAACACGCAGAAAGAGATGATGATGATGTGGTTGTGGGCATCAGAGAAGAAGTAGGACGGTGTATGTAGGTGGGTGTGGAAAACTACCAGCTGAGCGTGAGAGCGGGCCAGCTGCTCAGTAGACCTCGGTCTCGGGGGTTAACAAGGATAGTTAGCAGGCCTGCCACTGCGCATATGGTAGTGAGTACATTACTAGCCTACAACACAGCCGAAATACTCTGAAAGAGAGCTGATGGGCGGTGCCTGAAAAGGATGTTAGCCAGCTCTCTTGAGCGAACCACATCAGTCATTGAAAACACTTGGGGTTTGCAAAAAGGTCCCATTAGGGACTAGTTGCTGACGTGGAAACGTCCCCCACCAGTACCAGTACCAGTACCAGTAGGTACTATTTCTATTTCTTCTATGTACTCTCTTATTCGAAAATTTTTTATCAATGACAGGCGCGTATCCAACTTTGTTCCATGGGAGGGGATATTCGTGGTGAGGGGGCTGACAGGAAGCAAAAAAATGGCGCAGGCGAAATTTCTCCTTTATTCAAGGTCAAATGCCTTCAAATTGATAATTATAGGTTTGTCAGCGGGATTTCATGAGGGTGGAAAAAATGATTTCAAATTCAGTTGAAAATTTATTATTCTCGAAGACAACAAAAATTGAATTATAAATATCAAGTTCACTTTGACCCGAAAAAAATGCTTGAGTTCAAGTTGGTAAGACAATTTGATGAATACGTTAAATCAAATTATTGTTGATGGTTTTTTCAATTTCTCCACTAAAAGACTCTCATCCAAATCGCGACGTTCCCACAGATTATAGATACATTCATGACAACGCAAGTTTGAGAAATTATGACATAAACACCATCAAAAATTTGTTTACAATGTTGGTTGTCATGCTGTCTAATGTTAAGTTTCGGTTTTGCCGCTGGAAAAGTAATGAGAAACTTTTTTCGCTTTGGTAATGGCAAAATCACACCAGCTTACGAGATTCCATAAAATACATAAATTAAATAGTCAAAATGATGAAGGAACTTGCACGCTGCAGTTTTGGCATTTTTCAGCTTTTAGGAAGAAATATATTACATACTAGTTACGTGTTGAATGAAATGAAATTCATTTTGGGAATCTTGATATTAATTTCGATTGAAACACTGACTTTTCTTTTATCGTCTGGGGAGGATAATTACCCCCATCGCCCCCTCTTGTTTACGCTGATCAATGAAAACATCAAATAATATTAAAAATATATGAATTAGTTGGTAACAATGAAAAAACATTTAGATGTTTATTGGAGATTATAAGTTCTTAGTGTATTTTCAATACTTTACCTGCATATTTTTTGTTCGATTTCAGGATAGTCGCTTTGATATTTTGACCGTGCTTTCTAGAAAAATTGACTTGGCACCAGATGCTGATTTGAAAGTTATTGCTAAAGAAACGGAGTATTTTTCTGGTGCAGATTTGAAATCTTTGTTGTATTCTGCTCAGCTGTCTACAATTGACAATCTTCTGGAGAAGAATAATGTGAGTAGAAGTTTGTATCAACTAAACTAATTTTTTGTTGTTGCATTCATGTTCATTCAGTGAATTGGCATAGTTAATTTCAACATATAGGATTCTACATGAAAAACACATGAAACTATTGTATTTTTCTGGGTATAAACAATACAGCATGGAATGTCTGAAAAGTTACTGGGACATGATGGAATGTCAATTGGAGCTACTGCTAACATACTTGGTATATAGTTCCTAGCTTTCATTGGCTTTCAATTGTTATTTTGTAAAAGGACTACTAGGCTTCAAGATCAAAAAATGAAAAATAGAATTGATTTGCTTTTTTCCTCGGGAATCTCTTTCACATGGTTCTAATATTTGACGAAAAAAATGATATTCCATTGATGATTATCGATTTTCTTCTGTTTCGTCGTTAACAAAAAAGCGTAAATTGAAAAATAATGTTCATGAAATCCTTTTGATGAGATTGACGTTTCATCATCATTTCTTCATAACAATCTGTCTAATAGTATTTGAGAGAATCGAAAATACTGATCAATTTTTTTTTGGCAATTCCGTAAAATACCAAGTACTCATTGGAGTTGGATAGTAAGTAGTAGTAACCAGATTTGTTCTTGTTTTTATGGTATAATAAAAACAGTCTACTCATATTCATTATGTATGAAATGCTATACGTATAATATTGGCACATTTCTGTATATTCTGTTTATCAATTATTATCAAAATCATTTGCTGTAATTTAATTTTCCCAACGTTTCTCACTCTCAAAAGGTCTTTGATTACACCTTTCTGAGCAACAAATATATACGTTTACATATTCTGAACGTAACCCTCTTTTCTGTTTTAGGTAAATTTCCAGCCTTCCCAATGAGCTTTATCAATTAGTCAAAGTTAATTAACGCCATTCCTCGCCCATTTTGTAGAATTCGAACATAATAAATTATTTTCTAGGGGACGTTTTGTTCCACAAAATGAAGCAGTATACCTTTTGCCAAAACTTAATGAAATTATTAATTGCATTTTCTCAGCGCACATCTTTGTGTGAACCAATACGGTATTATATAAAGGCATATTAGCGTAGGAGCGAATGCAGTGAAACCTATTCAGGGAAACATAATGCAAATAGAACAGACCGAAATGCTGCTACATCCGCATGATTTGTCACGTAAATCAATACTATGCAATATCTCGAGTTGTGGAATTGAAATATTTATAATTTTTCCATTGAACTGGTATCCAGAATGGGCGTGTACACCTCAGTAGAACTTTCAACTCAAACCATGTTTATAATGATCCTTTTATACATAAATAATGATTGACGACATAATTCGATCAAAAAATTAACTGGAATGTTTTATCTTTGAAGATAAATAATAGTACCTTCTGAAAACGGACCCTCTTATGACGTAGAAACCTCATATCGCCATAGTTAAAAGAAAATATCAAACGCCCGACGGAGACTGAGGCAACTGATATATTAATTCTTTCAACTGTGATCTCTCGCTAATGTCAGAAATCATGTATCATTCATCTCTGTCTGGAATAGTCTTGTTTCAGTATTAGGGTTTTCACGTCACATCATCGCCTCGTTTTCAGAGGTCCGAAAAATCGGGGATTTCAAATTTTTTTTATAAAACGTAGGGAGCTCACAGCAAGAAACGGTTTGCGGTGGTGAGCTAGGTTGGGTGAGTTCTATCGAATTATGAAATGAAATTTTTTTGTGATATAAGTCCATTATATTATCACCATCTCTCCTTCTGTACTCTCAAGTGGAGTACCTAATAAAAGGGATACTGAATCCTGAAGAACAAAAGAAACATATACAGGGTATTGAAAAGGAATATCCTCAGATATAAGTATGAACATAAAAAAATTTATATATATACAGGGTGGCATTCAAATAAGTGCAAATATTTCAAACACTGATAAAGCTCGACGTGTACTATCGATTTGCACCAATGAAGAAAATTTAGGGATCAAAATGAAATTTGAGGTTAGACCCCTTTTTCCACCCAAAGTTTTACACTGTAGCAAATCTGACGTCACCTCTGTTCAAATTTCCATGCGGTAGGCACAATCACGCGGAGTTCAATCATTTAAATTGTTTTAAATTGGCGTTCTTGATTTTTTCTCGTATTCTGTTCAATTTTTGGAATGAAATTTCTCGTTAATCAGAAGAATTAGAAAAAATCTGATATCATGGGAATATTCCTTAGACTGTATCATATTAATGTGCCGAATATGTGCACTTATTTCAAAAACACCGTGTATATAAAGAAATACATTGAGAATTCGCATTCTCTATGTGATGAAAATATCAATTCTTTATCGGTTTATTCAACAGGGATCAACTACTTTCCTGGCTATATGCCACGACGGACATTGAATTATATCTATTGAACACACACGATACGAATTTGAAAACAAAATCCTCTGAAGTAGAGAATTTATTTACAGGAAGATGAAAATTCTGTATATCATGAAGAATGGCTGAAAGAATAACCGAACTTCAGGTTACTGATGAGGATTCGATATCCGAAATGAGTTCATTCAAATAAAGTCATACCTATGACCTGTTTGTGAGAGAAATAACTCCTATATCCACTGATACGAATGATTTTTTTTGAAGTTTCAAGCTCATCAAGATCAGAGTTTATACAAGTATACTTCTCCTCTTCATACATAAACGGCTTTTCAGTGATTATATTTCATACGGTTGGGACGATTTTTTTCCGTTCAATGAGGTCATTTTTGACAGAGGTTACAAATTCGAAATTTTGGTTTCACCGATTGATTTCTTTGTCTTTTTTGTACAAAAATGGTATTTTTCATTTCAATCGATATCTTGTACCGATCTAGAGAAAATTGCATTTAAAAACATACATTCCAACCGTTTCAAAGGCGATAAGACTCCATTTATTATTAATATATGGATAGGACTAATTGGCAACTGCACAATTATGGATATTTGACTTCTCAAAAAGTCTCTTTGGAGTTTGAAACTGACCTGCTGTCTTGCTAATCAGAATTCAATATTTTCAATATTACAGTCAGTCAGTCAGTCAGTCAGTCAAAATGTTTGGAGGATATAAGTCACATAAAACCAATCTATGCAGTCGAAATTTAAATAATCATTATTCTATAAGAAGCCCCTGAATGAAACCATCAATATTCATTTCTGTCAGATGTCTCAGCTTTTTCTGGACAAGTAGTGCCAATTTTATGACCAATTACTGACCCAAAAGTCAGTAATTGGAAAAAATGGCAGCTCCTGTAAACACCCTTTGGAGTTAAAACAGGCAGCTTTTTTATTGTTCAGAACTCAATGACCTAAAATGATATGAAACTTCTTATTCCTTCAGGTTACATCAAACGATATCGGGTCCAAAATAACGCACCAACATCTTCGAGAAGCCTTAGCAAAGACAAAACCATCTTTGCCGGTGCAAGAAAGATTGAAATATGAAAGAATGTAAGTGTGTTATGGGGTGATAACCCTGAATGATGTACTTACCATTTTTGTGAACTGAACTTCTGGATACTAAAATTTCTATGGTTATTTATTTGTCTTTCAGATATGCAAAATTCCAAACTGGTTCGACTGTTGAAGCTACCAAGGCCGGTAGCAGGGCAACTTTAGCTTAATTCGGGTTCAAAATAAATAAATATGTTATGTTTGAATTGTTATCTATATCAATAAAATGTTTTCATCTGGGTATTTGATTCTATATATCACGATTGAAAAAGAGCTATCGAAAAATTTTGATATAAGTAGATACTCACCTCTTCATTCATTTATTTTTTACTAATTCAGTTTTTGATTTATTTTTTGAAGAAAATTCTTGATGTAGGCCTATGAGGGCAAAGTCCCATAAGTTAAGGAAAGAGAAGAAGAGTAGTGGAGGTTATGGTTAGGTTAGGTAAGCGGGAAAAAGCCCGGGAAACAATCTTTAGAGGTTAGAAAGGGAAGGTCAGAGTTAGGTTAGCGTCTAGTAGTATGTATGAGTTCTGATAATAAAAAACAGATTATTCTGACAAATTATTTTAATGAGAACCACCTACATTGACAAAAGTTATTTCAAAATATCTTTCGAATCAGAAAATGTAGGTAAGTATTTCTTTTAATCTTTTAACAATTTTATTTTTGCAGTACCTACCTACCATATTATGTTGATTCCATTTTTTCTGTAGATATTTCCTTATGACTCTTGGGAGGTAAATGGAGTAACATTATGTGCACAAAAAAATATTCATAGGTCTATTTTTGTTTCCCGTTCCTCAAAATATTCTTTCTTTTTCGTAGACGGCGGTCATAGCATCTGTATATAGCCATGCTTTTGTTGAAGTCAATGTGAATTTAGCTTATTACATGCATTTTTCTCTTAGAAAATCGAAGTGAAGAATTAATTAATTTTGATTTTTTCAGGGTTTTCCAATCGTTTTTCTCCGATTGATTTCTTCCCACAATATGTAAGTAAGTCAATGTGTATTTAGCCACACTTTTTCTCGTATTTCATGCAGAAAATCAAGGCGATCAATTGTTTTGTTTTGATTTTACGACACCAGAGGTCAGCCACTTGGTGATTGTCGCGAATACCGATTCTTTTCAGCATTTTCCTGTGCACTGAAAAGAAATACCATAATTAGGAGCATCAATATTCATGGCGTCATAGTTATACGCCCCATTCATCCCCTCACTTTTTATCCAGTTTTTAAAACTTAACATTAAAAAGATTGTTTGAATGGGGATATGCGCGAATTCCAGAGCCCAAATTAGGAGGTATTGAATAAGGACGAGCGGTTTCAACACTGACAAATTGCCGTTTATATTTTTTCAACGAGGGATTTGGAAGTCTATGCTCAGCCAGCGACTATAAAAATGTTTGAGGAATGTTTATATCCCAGTTTTTTTTCAGTCTGCATTTGCGCTAGAAACTTATAAGAACCATACATACAGTCTTCAAGTGTTTAGTTCTCGAGATACAGGGCGTTGAAGAAAAATTGAATAAAATGCATTCAAATTCGGTATATGGTTTGATGTTTCAATGGTTAATTTTTTGACCAGAAAGACATTCCGAGAATTTCATCCAGAGGTGCGCTACAGAGGGTTATTGTGATAACTTTTCCGCCCATATTTTCTACGCCACTGATGAAATTTCAATTAATTCTAATTTTTCGAATTGATTCTTCAATTATGTTGAAAAAGTGCATCACCTTCAATTGAGCTAAAATGAACTGTTATCGAGATATATGACCCAAAATAGAAGTTTGCATAGTAATTTTTCATCTTCCTCAGTAGTAGAGAATTGAAAAAAAATTTGTTTCCTCTTTATGTTCAGCTATAGAATGAGATCTGAATAGTATCTAATCTACTCAACACCAGAAAAATATTTTTGCAATTTTCTACTACTGAAAATGATGAAATATTACTATGCAATCTTCTATTTTGGGTCGAATATCTGAACAAAATTGAGCAAAGAATTCGAGGAATTGGAAATAATCGAAATTTAATCAGTGGCGTAGAAAATATGGAAGGAAAAATGTCACAAACTCCTGTAGGGCACCACTGGATAAAATGTCCGGAATAGCTTCCTGGTCAAAAAATTACCCATTCAAAGATGAAACCATATACCGAAGTTTCCGAGATATTCGAGAAAAACAGAAATACAAGATTTAGTTTTTTCTCAAATAACTCGAAAAAGACTGAAGCTAGCCTGGATTTCTTGATAGATTCTGATTCAACATTCAATTTGCTACAACTTTTTGCTAATTTAACGGTTTCTCTATTTCTCATAGTTACTGAGATCCAAATGGTGAGGATCGAATTTGGGACACACTGTATATGTGATGGCTTGATGGTTTTTGTTGTGGTATATTTACGAAAGATAAGCCAATAACACCGTCTCCGAGAAGGAATTGCAAGTCCTTTTATCTTCCATTCGACTTCGCGGTTACGTAAATTACACATCACAGAATTAGACTGACAGATATTTGATTATTTCAAAGAATGGTAAAGATACCTGCAACGCAGGTGTCATTCCTGTCAAATACTTCAAATTTCTGGTCAATAATATTCTGATTTTAATATAATGTAATATCTTCTCAATATTGATTTGTCCTTTTTCCTGTCACAGAAATATACAGTGCGTCCATAAAGTAACGCATAAATTCATTATTGGCTAAATGAACAATAAAATTAGAAATTCCCGAAACAGGTCGATTTTTGATTTCAATTTACTATTGTTTCAAATCATAATCTAATATACAGGGTGAACAACTTTCGTGTAATGACGTCATCACCATTTTTTTTCAAATGGAACCCCCCCCCCTTTTTTTTTCAATTTCCAAATTGCCTTTGCTGAGCTGATTCCAAAAATGTATAATATGTTGCTTCAAATTGGTACAGGGTGGGCAAAAATGCAGAAATTTACTTACAAAGTAATAAAAATAATGAATAAACGTAATAAACACATTAAATGAAATTATACGTATTGTTATACAACTACTTTGATAAACTATCAAGAACATCCAGCATTATTCTTAATAATTGTATCTTACAGCTTTTATTAGTGATCCAAGCCCGTGGACTATAAAAATCTTCTTGTTTGGCATTATCTTTTACCATTTTTTTAATTTGACAAAACTGTCAAAAACATTGAAGCACAGAGCATAAGATGCGGACTCAACAAGAGGTATGCCGATTATTCCATGAAATGCACCCAGATCGTGAACCTATTTCACAATCTACGGTAAGTAGAATAGAGCGAAAATACAGAGAATTAGGACATGTGAGGGATGCAGCAAAGCCAAAAATTGATGAAAATATTCAACAAGACATAATTTGTTTATTACATTCAGTAACGTATTACTTTCCATAAACAATTTTCATATTTTTTTTGCATTTTTGCCCACCCTGTACCAATTTGAAGCAACACATTATACATTATTGGAATCAGCTCAGCAAGGGCAATTTTGAAATTGAAAAAAAAGGGGGGTTCCATTTGAAAAAAATGGTCATTACGCGAAAGTGGTTCACCCTGTATATTAGATTATGATTTGAAACAATAGTAAATTGAAATCAAAAATCGACCTGTTTCGGGAATTTCTAATTTTATTGTTCATTTAACCAATAATGAATTTATGCGTTACTTTATGGACGCACTGTATAGTTTATTATACACGGAAAAAATAATGGATTTCAGCTCCAAGTTGTGTTGTCTCCCTTGTATAATAAATAACTATTTTTTTGTATGTACTCATAGGTACGGATACTTGACTAATAGCAAAATTTTAAATTTTGGTGGTGCAAAGCGCATTCACCATTTCTTGAAAAAATATGTAGGTATCTACTGCGAGATACTTTTTTCTTAAATTGTAGCTCCTGCTTGTTTTTCCGATTTTTTGTCAGAGAAATATATTCTCCATAATGATAAAAAAAGAAGTCAGAAATAATGTATGAGGAAAGTTCAAAACGGAGAACGGCAGAGAAACGTTTGAGATTCGCTGACGGATGTTGTATACGGCGCAGCTAAAAATAAGTTCACAGAGAGAACACAAACTTTTTGTGAAAATACTTTTAATTTTCCTTTAATCCACTTTCCATCTAATCGAGTTTGCGATGAAAAACTTCAAGGGAGAAACGCTTATTCTTATTTGTATTCATTTGTACGCATTTACGGAGTATTCACCATTAGTCATATTGTCGATTCACAAAATAAATATTCTCGAGAAATTTTATAAGACGCCATTCGTATTCTGCGAAATTTCTTTATACATCCAGACTAATGGTAGAACTTCATTATATTATGTATTATACAACTATTTGGCTTTAGATCTCGACTTTTGTAATTAAAATGCTCAACACATGAAACGTAAATTCGCATTTTTTCGATCAAATTTAAATCAACATAACTTGAAATTTCCTCAGCCGACTCTCAATTATATTTCAGTTTCTGAAAGCTCGTTTCATTGACTATCGAACCTATTGATATGACTATTTCATCTTTCCCGGATGAGATTCCACAAGATGATAATCGAAGCGATTTTACGTTTCATGTGTTGAGTAGTTTATATGAATGATTTGAATTTGAGAGCTTGAATTGACAACTTATTAACTAACTAACTAACTATATTTTATTTTACTTCAACTAATTTAATTTCGATAGTCATAATCGTAATCGTAGGAATCAATTTTTCAAAGTGATAATTTTGCATTTGGTTCCGTTCAATTGGAAAACAATTCGGAAAATTTTGACACGAAACCATAGGACCTTGGTATATATTTCCTATTCAATTGAATTGTTTTTTCCTGATTCGGAAAAATGATTCATTTTCGATTGAGACGAAAAAATATCACTTCTCACACGAATGCAATAACCTATACCAATACGGCTTTGTGATGAAAGAAAAGCATGTGTGAAGGCATAATTGAATAAGGGGAATTGAGACTAGTTGCATGGAGGGCTCAAAGTAAATAAAACTACTGAACGGTTGTATCGGTGGCCGCAAATCCAATAATTATGGATTTCGTAGGTATACAGGCTGATTCACGGTGGATGGCACATTAGACGTTTCTGGTGAACCAGACAACGGATCATTTTGAAAATTCAAGGGAGGGCATATTCGGACATTCTCTAACCAACTAAAATATTTTCGACAATGCGGTGTTGCCGCTTCTATTAGAAAGCAGTAGCAACTTTGATTTTTCAAATGGAATAC